CCTCCTCCTCTCCTCCTCCTCCTCCTCCTCCTTCCTCCTGCTTTCCTCTCCAATGTGACTCCACTTGCCATTGAACCAAGGACCCTGCTGTACTCCCAGGAAGAATGAAATGCCTACCGTGTTTATGAACAGGTGTTTTGTGGGAAAGAAATTGAAATGAACAAGTAGAATTTCTCATTCTTTGAATGACTTGGCTTCCTGAGAAAGGGTTGTGGTCTTCCATGGTTTTGTGAACCTTCTGGGATGTCACGTTATCCTGTCTGTCCTGGTGGATAAATGGCCTCCGTGTCATCCCTTCCCATTCAGCTAGAGTCAGTCTACGGGAGCCACTCTCCTTTGAGAAAGCCAGTGTGTCCTCCAGGTCACCACCAGGGCAAGCTCAGACTGTTTTCTGGGGCAGGAAAAGTCAAACCACTATCTGATAGTTTCCCCTTCTGAAATTAACATGCGGGAGGTATGTGCTCTGCCAGGAAGTGGTGGGTGGGGCTGAGTAGTCCCCAGAGCCACTCCTGACTCACGGTGCTCAGCAGGCCCCAGCTGCCACACATGTCCAGAACACTCCTTCCTGGCTTAAATTCGGCCAAAAGATGAGCAAGAAGTTGGGGGGGGGGGAGGGTGTGGAAATTCATAGAGCCGAGAATACCCAACTTAGCAGTTTCGTTAAAACGTCTGTGCCACTTGGCACACTGTGCAGAGCAGATGACAGATCCAGATGTCACTGTGGCGTCGGTTTCACCCTATTGTCCAGAATCCAGCTGGACTTCGGAGTGTCTTTCCAGTCTGTTTCCTATTGTACAGAAATCTTCCTTCCAGGTTCTTCTCAGAACACAGAGTCCGATAGTTCGTGGAAACCTTGGAAGAGGTCAACTGACATTCTGTTCCCATCCTTCTTTCTCCCTAATCACCATTACTTATTTTTAAAAGTCTTTTACTAGCAACATAATGTAGGGAACAATTTCTGATGTGTTAAATGCATATATTAGGGACGAGAGAGATGACCTCAGTGACCCATGTTTGTACATTTAATTAAATAATTATCATCTATCCATTCATATCCGTGTGTGTACATGTGTACCTATTGTGTACATGTGTACATACACACACATGTATGGGGGAAATAAAGGTAGCAGATTAAACTTGGGATTTAACATGCATTTTTGCTCAGGGCGAGAATAAATGTATTTAGTTTTAAAAGGACCAATTAAAGGAAAGTGTTATATAATAATGACATTAATGTTAAGTACTGGCCCTTGAAGAAGCACATACCAAGGCAGAAGTAACATCCTAGAGGTTTATTGAAGGAAATTGCCTGTGATGGCTCTCAGAGGGTACAGGGGAGCTGGAGAGCACTGAGCCCAGGTGAGGGCTGACACCTGCAGTGGGTGAGAAGGAAGGAGAGAGGGGGCTGGATGGAGGGTGGTGCATCTTGGCCCAACCACAGGGAATCCGACAGTCTGACTGCCCACATGGAGAGTCCACCCTGGCCAGGTGGGTCAGTCCGCCACGGTGCTCCGTCACTGACAGGAGCCACCAGGGGAACTCGGCTTGGCTTTAGCAGCGGGGGTTGCTGTCGTGCCAGGGCAAGGCTGTCCCCACGTGTGAGCCTGAGCAGCACACTTGGTGGCGCAACAGACCACACATGCTGGACAGCAGATGCCACAGGTGATGGACCGAGGACCAAGAGTCATGCGTTTGGACAGACCTGGCTTTGAGCGCCAGTTCATCTCTCCGGCTTCCCTTCCTTGTGAAATGCAAATTAGAGCAGCACCCATATCTTAGAAATAAATCGAGAGGACATGCTACAGCCAAACCCAACTCCACCTGCCACAGAAGCCGCTAAGGGCAGCCGCTGTCTGTGCCTGTCGCCATGTCACAGGAGGGTGAAACTCCTCCGCCAACAGCTCCATCCTGTGATGCCCAGTGGGGAAGCCGCTAAGCTCCCTCTGCGTACCTGCTCGACCAGTCTCCCCACGGGAAGCCATCCTCAGGACAACATGAATTCATCTCCCAGCCAAGGACCGTATCATGCTGGCTGCCTTTGGTACCTTTATTCGGTGGATTATTAAACCTCGTGAACTTAAGAGGAATTCAAACCAAATCACTGGTATCCTGACTTCCCTCTCTAACCCAGTCAGATGGAAATGTTCTGCAAGGAAGGAAAAGAGGGGAGTCTCACTCATCTGGAGCCTTCCCAGTGCCCCCGTGTGTTCGGGCTTTTGTGCCAGCTGGTACGGAGGGTGAGGCGAGGACAGTTGCGGGGAGAAAAGCTGCTGGCCCTCCCGGAGCCCTGTTCCTGTGGGACAGGGTCATTCCAGTAGGGAACAGACCCAGGGCCTTTGCTTTCTCTTCTTTAAATTAGAAAGGCCGTCATGATAAAATCAGCCTTGTGCAGATCTCGAAAAACACAAAGGAAAACTCTAGACAACTTGTACATTTTCACTAACAGCCAACCCTACCCTCTTCCTTCTCTTGCTTTTAATTGAGAAGCTTTTAAACATGTTTCCAAGTCTGTGGCCATGAACTTCAGAAATAGATTTTTTTTTTCTCCCCAGAACAGGCGGTAGGGATGAAAGTATTAGTCATTTTGATTTTGTGGTCCTGATTGCTGAAGAAGTACTTAATATAAAATAAAAATACAAAAATAACCTTTGATGAAATTAATTTTAAATTGAACTGTACTTTCAAAAAAACTGTTTAATATCCAGTGACCTGGACTAAATATGCCCTTGATTGCTCTGGGTCAACTGAGCTGTCACTAGCTGGCTGGTCTTACAAGTTATTTAAATTTTTTGGCTTTCCTTTTCCTCATCTGTTGAATGAAAGGGTTGAGATAAATAATCATGAAATTCTTTTTTAAAAAATTTTATAGTTGAAGATGGACAGCATGCCTTTATTCGTTTAGTGTTTTATGCAGTGCTAGGGATCAAACCCAGTGCCTCACACATACTAGGCAAGCGCTCTGCCACTGAGCTACAGCCCCAGCCTGTGAACCTCTTACATGTAGCAAATCAGGAAAAAAAATGGACTGTGTAGCCCTGGAAAAATTACTTGACCTGAGCTCCTGTTTTCTTATTTGTAAAATGAGAACTTAGTTTATCTTGGAATGTGGTAATAAGGAACCAGAAACTGTACACACACAGCACCTGAGACCATGTGGCTTCCCACCCTCAGTGCATAGTGACCATAGGAATGGTTGGCTCTCTGTCACTCAGACGTGCGATGTATTTGGAGGAGCATGATAAACACACATTTGTGTGTACACCTGCACATGTAATTAGTATCTGGAATATCTTCAAAATAGTCCTCCCCTGCCTTCTCCTGGGGGGGGGGGCAAATACTGGAGTGGAACAGTAATGTGGGTCTTAACATCACCCAGATACACCTTCGAATCTCAGTCCCAGGCCCCTGGCTGCTTGAAAGTGGCAGATGGCTGACCCCCTAGGGCCTCGGAGTCCTCCACCACAAACCCTATCAGCGTCAGCTACCTCTCGTAATCGCTGGGAGGCCAAGGGACTGGGATTCTGTGAGCATAGCTCCATTCCACCCAGGGAAGTTTGCAGTCCAGGGTAAACTGCAGTGAACAGGGCACAAAGGCTTGGGGATTGAAAAAGGGCGCAGTCAGTGCAGGTTGAAGTAAGCTTAGAGTTCCCACGCGCTGCTCTGAGCCACCTGGGCTAGGTGTTCAAGCAGACCCGTAAGCCTTCCTGGGGGATTCTGGTTAGGAAGCCTGGGTGTGTGGCTGGGGAGGCACAGGAGCACCTACTTGGAGGCTGAACACTGTGGGTTTAATAGGATAAGTCTCAGGCCCACTGTGAAACAAGCCGACCCAGAACAGCTGTGGTGTGATGAAAAGGATGCTTAGAGGAGACCCACCAGGATCTGCTGACTTTAGTGCCACCACGTGAATGTATTTTAAAGAATCTTCCATTTAAGAACTGAATTCACTTTTAAAGAAGAGGAGTCATTGTCATTCAAGTTCATGGTCATAGGTTATGTGCCATTTAGCTTCTCTTTCTTAGTTTCTGGAATATCTTCAAAATAGCCCTACAGGTCTAAGCAGGATCCTGTAGATTGCACAGTGCAACTTTTTATTATTGCTAATGAAGCTGGACTGTCTATAGATTCTGGCAATAGCCAGGTGCCCCTCGTTGAAGGAGACTGACAGCGATTCTGTTCTGACACCTGAGTGTTCGTCTCACACTGTGCTTCTTGACTACCCCAAGAGGTCCAGGACCTGAAAAATGCCCTCAATCTAAGAGCCTGGACCTCGCCTGGAATCATCCTGTTCTCTCGCTGACTCTGCAGAGAGCTGCTTCCTTGATTCTGTCTCAGCAGTTCCCTTCCAAACCCGGTCCTAGTGCCGAAGAGTCCAGCGTCTCTCCTCTCTCCTCTTCGGAGGTCACCCACCTCCGTGCGCTCACTGGCAGTGGAAATAACGAATAGAAATCTGCTCTCCTAGCTCCCCCACCCCATAGGCTTCCTCTGAACTGTCAGAGAAAGGGGAGAGGACGTTGTCCAGACCTTCATTTGTTACCGTGGACTGAACGTGGAAGCCACCCTGGGACAAATAGAGGCAGAACAGGAGATCCAGGCTTGGCTCAGAGACCCAGCTCCATGGGGGTGCAGTGGTGCCTGAGTCTGCTTTCGGGAGAAGCAGAGAAGAGCTGAGACCTCAACAGGGAAGGAAGACGCTAGGGTGGGAGCAAAAGCTTCTAGATGCTGGAACAGAGCCTGGAGGTGAAGGGCAGTCTGCATCCACCTTGACTGCTGACCTGGAGCACACGGGAAGCACGGAACCCACAGTTAAGTGACACCTAGCCCAAGAGCGTGGGTTGCCATCATTACCTTTGTCTTTGTTAACAGAAGACTATCTTCCTGGGTTCTCTCCAGTGGTGTCTAAAGTATGCTAATCCAGTGCAGGGGTGCAAGCCACTGAAGGGGGTCCATTAAGGAGGAAAACAACGCGGCACGGAGCTCTCTGGAATCTGCTCTTAATCCTGTTGATTTTTTTTTTTTCAGTGATTTGGACAATGTCATAAAACACACTGCTCAAGTTGAACAGCTGGGTGGGCTCATTAAGGCAGCCCAAAATATACACAGTAAAGATCTCCAAACACTGCCACAATGAGCTCCGGTTAGTGTGACCTGGCATTTTTTATTTATACGGGTCAATGTGCCATTGTACTATAAAGAGTGAGTCACCAAGATTGTAACTGAGACCCACATCCTTTCCTACCCCATGCCAACTAGAACCTGAAGCAGTGTTAAAAAATATCTGTTCGTGAGGATTCCAGGAGCAAACATACTTCTGGCCTGAGCAGACTTAAGGACTTTCCAAAACAACATAGAATTCATCAAGAAAAGTCTTAAGGAAGTGGAACAAACCTAGCTGATGTCACTTCTTCCCAGCATTCATAACAATTGCTACCATTAGTTGAACCCATACTATGTGCAAGCACTCACTATGCTAAGTGCTTTATATGTACAAAATAAACAACAGCAGTGTTCAGGATTCATAAATAAATCATGCCCCACATCCTGTGCAGGAATCCAAGACAGATGACTGTGAGTCAGTCTGGGCTGCCATATGTCTCTGCCCCCAGCCACACAGAGACACCAAGGAAAAGTTGCATGACAACTCTCCCCCACCCCCATCACCCCTGTGGGGCCTCAGCAGCCAGCCAGCAGTTCACCTGCCATTTGCAAGGCAGCAGGAAGAAAGCACACCCCCAGTTCCCGCTCAGCTCTGGGGAAGCCCCCTGCAGCCACTCAGGCCCCAGAGTGACACCATGTAGAAGATCCATCCTTGGCCCTCTCTTCCCAGACAACTCAACAGCAGCTGAGCTGGACTGAGTGGCCACCAGCCACCAGCTGCCCTGGCCCTGGAGGTGATGGGTTCAGCTACAGTTCTAATTTCCACAAGTGAATTCTGCTTCTGGGGCTGATTTCTTGAAATTTTTCTTTCTGTTCTACGTCATATACTCTGGTTTCTAGAAGAGTCTATAGAAAACCTGATATTAACAAGCATTTAATTATAGACACCACTCGAGTTGTCCCCACCTGTCCACACAACTTCCAGACTCTCCAGCCCCGTATAAATGGGGTACTCTTGTGAGGCCCAGGAGGACTGTGTGGGCTGGACCCAGCCAGCGGCTCACTCTGTTTCTGCGAGGCTTTCCCCTGAATGAGCTTTACTCCTGAAACAACGCGTGACCACGAACAAGCTAATAATCAGCTCAGAGAGGAGTGATTACTAAACCAGGTCACACAGTTGAAACTCTGAACTTGGACCTGACTCTATAGTCGCCATGTACCCGTCACCATGTAGCAGATTTCCTCAGATGAGCCACATGCTAACCAGTGACCAGAACCTGGACCCTCTCTACATGAACTGCACGTGTCAATCACTGCTCACATGCAGACTGCACCTGGAGCCCTATTTGCAAATGTACAAAAAGTTCAAAACAATTTGGGGCAGTTCTTGGAGATAGCCCTAGAAAACATTTCGCTGGCTGCACAGTACAGTTCTCTCCTTTTTCCATTCTATTCCTGTCCTTGTGGTGATGTCAAGAAGAATGTCCCTTCTTGATATTAACAAGCATTTACCACTGTGTTAGCCCTTGCTACAAAGACTTAAACCTTATTAGAACTTAATAAGTGTTTGCTTCATTCATTGTATTTATTTTAATATGTATTATATACATATTATTATTATAGTAAACGGTATCACATTTGAAAAAAAGTTTCTTATGATTACATAAAGTTTCTTATGATTCTTATGATTTCTTTTGTGTTACCATTTAGCTTCTTATTATCACAGTCAATGGTACACATTGACTGTGATAATAAGAAGCTAAACGAGAAGCAACAGTAATACTAATGTGATACCAATTACTGTAATAATAAGAAACTTTCTTTTCAAATATATTTAAGTAAATCTATGGTTAATGTATAGAAAATATCAAATAAACTGGTGACACAAGAACAAGTCAAAGATGAGAACATGCTATGAAAATCATTGCACTTGGTAGATGCTCACGCAAATTCACAAAATAAGGAACTTTTGCTGGTAGAATAACTTTTAAAAATATTTGTTTGGAACAGGCAATATTTGTAAGGCCAGTTTTCAAAACAGCAGAAAGATCTGGCAGTCTGAAAACATAACGAAGATCAAGGAAACTTGAGTGTTCAGATCCAGCTCCTTCTATTCCCATCTGTCACCTGCTCCAGGTTCCCAGTGTCTTCAAGAATACAGTGAGAAATCAAAATCCAGGGACTTTCCAGACTAGGAAATCACAGAAACAAAGAAGTCTCAGTACCACTGGATAGGACAGGAAAGAGGGTTGAAACACCCCCGTCCCCGGTCTATTTTTAGATAATAAGAGGGTTTTTCTCAGTCTAACGTCGATGGTCTATTTATTCCTGAAACTTCTGTGGGTCAGGCTTGAGGAGGTTCTGCTTTTGAAACAGCATTTGATTCTTTACCTGTGCATCGTGTTCAACAGCGTGCAATCAGGGTACAGTTCCAAGAAAGCAGAGTTCCTCCCAAATTCCTTCTGCATGTGCTGTCATTTTCTGACAGTCGGAAGCTTCCAGGAATGTTACAGTCCTTCCATGGACTCCTTTTTTACCCAGGCAAACACACACAAATAAAAGTACATATTTTCATCCTTAAAGTCACGTTGGAAAGAGAGAAACTTAGCTTCTGGAAACACTGCTTCCCCTTTTTTTAGCTGTTTAGCCTAAACAAGTGACTTTGCCCCTCCGTGCTATTCTTGCCGTACTGTGCAAAGGGGCCCTCAGTACTTGCTACTTGGAGGCACTTTGCGGGGTAGTGGAAGCAAGGTGCCACTGTGAAAGACATCTGTAAATACCGCTTCCCTTGCGTGGCTCACACTGCACCTGTTACAGGGGAGGGCGGGCCTTGTACCAGCAGAGATGCAGGGAAGAGTTCTTGCCCTGGAATAAAGAGGAGAGATGCAGAAGGTCTACGAACACCCTGCGATTATTTAAAAAGTACTTTGTTTATGGGAGGAGAGTCCAGATCTACTAATTTGAGTATCGAATTGGTCTGAAACCACTAACACTCTCCCCCAAAAAAGTTTAAGGACAGCCCAAGGAAAGAGGCAAAGATGACATCCGACGTTGGAGCTTCAGAATAGAGCTGAGATATCAGGACAGGACAGGAGATGCAGAATTACTCCAGGGAGGGCAACTGTGTGGAGTTGCATGGATCAGACCCCCGCCCTCTGGCTCTCCCCAGAGTGTTTAAACTTCAGCACGATGACCCTGGCCCAGATCAAGGGCTGATGTCAGAAGTGGCTTCCAACGCCAGGGTCAGGAAAAGGCTGAGGACCTGCTCGTGACAGGACAGTCATGAGAACCTGAGGATCGTGGCTGCACTTCTCAGCCTACTGCTAGAATATTCCTGAGCAGCTTGTTTGTTTTTACCTAACACTGACTATCAATTGAGCGAATTAAAAATCGTTCCCTCTTATCATCAGCTACTAGAAAAAACGTGAAGGCCAAGGCGTGGCTTTCCCCCAGGCAAGGCTTTGTGGCTTGCAGTCTTCCGTGGCAGCCCCTCTCTGTGTTCCATTTGAGCCTGGCTGTGCCTGTAAGTTGTTTGCCTTTTAAAATGCACAACTTGTATTATCTTGTTACACTGTTTGCGCTCGTCAGCGTCTTCCAAGTTCTTTTTGGAGCAAGGTCTAGATGAGCATTTCAACATCAGAGAACTGCCAGCCCGAAGAGCCCTTTGCTTTTGTGTAACTTATTATTTTTTGGGGGGAGAGGGGCTAACATCTTGATTCTCACATTTGTTTTTATCTTCCTTTAGTCAGTTAAAGAGGAATCAGTCGCCCCAGGTGCAGAAGAAAATGTAAGTGAGGCATTCGATGACAGAATCATCCCCCTCTCGGCTTGGGCATGCTGGACCATTGGGCTTTTCCAACCCTGGGATCCTGTGTTCTTGCATGCTCCAGGTATAATCATCCGCTCTGGACTCTTTCACCCTGTCTGGTGACTAGGGGCCAAAGGGGAACAACAGTGGATGAATTTTTGAAACTCCCATTGAATTGATGCAAAATAATTGCAGGAGGAAAGCATGCTGCTTCATCATTTGTTATCATTTAGGGGTGAAAGAGTCTACAGCACGTAGGAATGGCTTGGCACTTCCATAAGGGATAATGATGCTGCATCTCCTGCTTCTGCCTTGACTGCTCCTTCACCTTCATCTCCATGGTGATCCTGATTCTTACTAATTTGGGTTGGTACCCAGGACAGGCAGTTGCCTCAAGCAGGAGAACATCTTGCAGCTATAGAAGCTGGTCTCATTTGGAGAGGGGACTCCGTGAGTCTGCATCTGACAGACAGGGGGCACTCTACCTTTAACCAAGGTCAGATACTCCTGGCCTCAAGAGATGCTCAAAATTTTCAAGATGGTACATTCATGTCCAAAGAAATGGTGTCACTTGCAGTGCCACGGTGGTGGTAGTGGTGGTGGTCTGTATTGTATTTTATGTGGTGGTGGTGGTGTGTGTGTGTGTGTGTGTATGTATATTTAAGAAAAAAAAAATTTCCAGGGAGATTAATAAATGGGCCTCATGAGTTTCAGGCCCAAGAGAGCTGCTCTCATTCCTGAAGGAAGCACGGTCTTTGGATAATCTTATAAGTGAGGATAAGTGAATCCACAGCTCCTTAAGGTAGAAACAAAACATCTTCATTTTGCCAAAGCAAAATATGTTTGGATCCTTCTGGTGTCTCTTGTTCACTGCCACGGATAGTTTGCATTTTCATTTTTATCTAGTTACTGGAACTGAACAGATGTTGAGAATCCAAATACATTCCAGAAATGCTATCCATGATATGGAAGGGAAATTAGAATGGCTGTTATGACTCTCTTGAGGAGAAAGTCTTTTCAATCTGCTTGTTTTTATTGTGTATCGCTCCCCTTCTCAATCCTTGCCTTCCTTTATTTCTTGAACCAAACTGAGGAGCTCAGCAAAGCTCAGGCTTCTCATGATTCCAGAACGTTCTCATGAATTTATTGACTATTTTCTAGAGAGTCAAAGTCTCTAGACCTTCAGGAACCTGCAACGAGGAAGCCCACAGGTCTCTTCCCCATGAAGTTTAAATGTTACCAGCTTCAGGTTGAATTGGGAGCCCCAGTTAGCACCGAGGTTCTAAGTTTCTGAAGAGAAACTTCTTTGGGGGATGTTTAGTGTCGCTGCTCACCTCGGGATGTCTGCAGTAGCTCAGATGCTAAAATGCAGAGTTGATCTGATTTCATTTTCTAGTAGGAAGCTGGAAATGGTAATATGAATGTGAATTAAAACATAAATTCTGAATACCAAAAGACAGCACAAAAGTTGATCAGGATATGAAAAAAAAGACAAATTAGTTTCCTAAGAAAACAAAGAAGCATCATAAAGAGTGTTTAATGTGCTTAGTCCTAGAACTTACTTTTCTATTTTTAAAGCTCAATATTTCATCTTCTAACTGCCCCTCTCCCAGAGGGAGTGAAGTTAATAGTTGTCATATCTGGGCCCCATCATCTCCAGGTGGTGATAAGAACATTACCAGCACTTCATGATTTGGGGAAGCATCAGGAGAGATAAGGCATGTATTGTGCTCCCCTCACTGCCCAAATCTCAGGAAGCACTCAGAAATTTAGGCATCAGCAAACTACAGCTCCTGGGCAAGTCCAGGCCAGTACCTGTTTTGAACAGCCAGTGAGCCAAGAATGGCTTTTACATTTTTGAATGGTTTGAAAAAAAAATGGAAAGAATAACATTTCATGACGTGTGGAAACTGTAATTCAAATCTCAGTGTGTGCTGATAATGTTTTATTAGGACACGGCCAGACTCACTCCTACCACGTCACCTGTGACTGCTTTGCTGTTAGGGCTGCAGAGCTGGGGTTCACAGAGACCATGCAAGAGGCAGGACCTTTTGCAAGAAAGCTGGGTGACCCCCAATGTCATCGTTAGTGACCAGGCTACAAAGTCATCTTTGAGTTCTTCCCAGTCATGAGGATTAAATCTCCAAATAAAATGACATGGGTGTCCCCATGAAGAGAAGGGATATGTAAAAAGGAAAAACTTAATGGGAGAGGTGGCATCGGTCAAAACAATATGTGGCCCCGGAACCCTGGCTGCAGAGCAGTCAGATGAGATTGGCCAGGTCATAAGAGGGCTCTCACTCCTGGCTTTTTCTGGGTCAAATAGAATTGAATTTATTTTTTTAAATTTCTCTATGCCCAACTTTCCAAAACAATCTGTCCCCCAGAAAGGTCCATTCACATTTAATCAGAAAAAAAAAAAGTTTACTGTTTTTCCTAGGGTATGCTTTTTATCCTATCAGAAATGATGTCTATATAGACTATAGAAATTATTGAATCTTTCAGTGGTGATTTGGAAATGTTGGGCTGTTAATGGACTGAGTTAATGTTCTAACTAACGAAAACAACTTCCTTCCCAAGACAAAGTACACTTTTGCTGTTTCCCTCTTAATAAGAGAACTTTTAGTCGCCAGTGAAACCCAAGCACAACCTGGATGAGACAGAAAAAGGAATGTATTGAGCGTCATCACTGGAAAGTAGAATTGGTTTCAAATTCCCTCGGGGCTATCCCTTGGCTCAGCCTTCTTGGTCTGGGTGCCTTCTCAGCTTTCCAACAGCACATCACCCAGTAAAGGAGAGATCTCTCCAGGTCCAAGCCCACATGTCCTGGAATTGTCTCCTTCATTGGCTCAAATGTGTTCACATGCTCTGTTAGTCAGCTTTTGCCAGGTTTTGTTGTAGTAACAACCAAACCCCAAATTTTAGTGGCTTTCAACAGCTTTCTCTCTCTTTTTTTTTTTTCCACTTATGCCACAAGTCAGCTGTACATTTACCACGGCTATTTCACGTGGTCTCTTTCTGCCGAGATCTAGCATAAATAAGCAGTCCCTCCACAAGGACCTGTGGGGAGAGAAGAACGCCAGGGAGAAGCCACAATGGCTCTTAAAGCCTCAGCTCAGATGTGGCTTATGTCATATCCACTCATATCCCATTCGCTAAAGCAGGTTACCCAGCAAGGGGCACAGATGTGTGATTCTTTCCCAAGAAGGTGGAGTGAATAATTGTAAAAATAACACACTCTGCCCACCCGATGCTGCCTTCCCTGAGCCAACATGCCAAGGAGCTAGACCAGGTTGGTTGGCTGAGACTTTTTCAATCAGTCAGGGAGGATGGTTGCCCCAAAGCAAAACTGGCTGCTATAAACTGATGAGAAAAAAAGAGTTACTGGGTAGGAAAGAAAATCTCTAATTCTCTGTAACCAAATAATCACATTATAGATCCAATAAAAAAGAATCTAAAGTAAAACCCTTAAATACCAATATTATCATTATGCGGTGGCTGAAGTTTTAAGTGGAGGATATCTGTTTTGCTATAAATTAGTTCCCAAAACTCACAGCTCTAATAAAAAAAGAAAAACCATATAAACAAAATTTCAAAAGGCACACGCCTGTAATCCCAGTGGCTCAAGAGGCTGAGACAGGAGGATCACCACTTCAAAGCCAGTCTCAGCAATGGCAAGGTGCTAAGCAACACAGTGAGACCCTGTCTCTAAATTTTAAAATACAAAACAGGGATGGGAATGTACCTCATTGGTGGAGTGCCCCTGAGTTCAATCCCTGGTACCAATAAATTAAAAATAAAAAATATAAGTACGGTATACAATTTGAGGTAATATGTAACCCCCTTTACAGAAAGGTATATTTTGCATGTTAAACATACTGGCCAATCCTATACAATGTATACACCTTCCCTATTGAAGTTAAGCAAGGGAGATTGAATTCTAAACTATAGCTCACACAAAAATAAATATGGCATAAGTCTGATTTTAATTATATCTATAAAACCTAAAATTAAAATGTACAGATGCACTAATATCTTCTAAATAGGGAATGACTTTTTCCAAAGCTGTAGCCTGAAAGGAAGTCAGAGAAGTATCCAAGTAAAAATTGAATTCTCATGTCTGTATATGCAAATTGGATCCTTACTTAGTCCAAATTGTGCTGGGTTCCCACACCGGATGTCGTGGATTTTCCTTGGCTACTGAAAGCCAACTTCTTGGCCTGACTTCAAAGCTGATGGAAGTCTCTAGAAGCCCCATTTGTTTTGCCTACTAAAATTGTTGTGTTTTGGAGAATGGACTTGCAGCCTAGGATTCATGAGCTGACACCTCTCAGCATTTGGAAAGACCCCACAAGGGATCCATTGGCACTCAGATAAGGGTGGTTTACAAAGTAATTGTCATGCAATCTATCATTTTATTACAGAAGTGACTTTCCTTCCAGGCCCTTGAACACAAAAAAAGAACATGCTGTTTCAAAGGCCAAATAGAATTCAGAATCGAGGGTCAGTCAAACTGCTCATTACCCACTTTAGGGCCATGCTAATCTTCCTCTTACCCGTTCTCTTCACCGATGATTAGTCTAGGGATAAGGAAGTGACCTAGTTATGACCAGTGAGATTTGTGTGCCCTGAACTAGAGGATCCGAATTCCAAAGTTCATTCCAAAGTTCAGTCTGGAGTTGTCTCTTATGGAGCAAGTCTATTATGGGGACCTTCCTTCCATCTCAGGACATTGAGATAAGGATGTGATGCTGGAGCTATAACAGCTATTTCATGACTATGAGGTAACAAATAACAGAATGAAAATGCAGCATGACAAGAGTGGTGGAGACACAGGATAAGACGCTGCTTAGTCCTTTAGTGAAGTCCCAGAGCTGCTGGATCAGCTCCAGAATGACTTGCTCTCAAACTTCTTCTTCCATGTCCTTATCAATTAATCCACTATTATATATTCAATTACTGGCAGAAAGTGCTCTTCTCCTTGAAATGTCCTCTCCTCTGTACTGTGACTTTAGCCAAGTCATTCAATCATTCACGTCCTTCATCTATAAAGTGGTGATAACGTTATCTTTCCTGGGCTGTCTCTGTGACTATTTCCTGAGGTTATGTATAAAACATGGCTTTCTCAACTCCAGGCACAGTCAGAGGTAGTTATTAAAATAATCACCCCTCAATAATGGACTTGCGGGTGGTGGTGATTCCAGGTAATTTGTGCTCATGGAATAAATAGGTGTAACTCTGACACAAATCACAACCCCTGTATTAATTATGGCCTGACAATGAATTGCCTGATTTAACCCTCAGAACAGCTTTGTGATGCGTACAGTGTCCCCACCCAGAACAGAGAAGATGCTGACCTTGGATGAGGCCCACTTAGGGGTAAAGACAGAGTTCTGCCCAGCAGGTTGCCCAGCGCCTCTGCTCTCTGACCACGTTGTGGGACAGATACGTTCCAGGCCCCGCTCATGAGCTTTTGTGGCTGATGCTCATTTTCCAGAAATGCAGTTGAATGGAACGTGCCTAGATGCGGGAACCACGTCCCCCTTCAGACACCCATCCCAGACTCTCGTTGGTCTAAAGCCAGACTGGGATCAGAAACCAGCAGCCGGTGGCAGCAGCTTCCCCCAAGCACGTCCAGTGTTTTTATCTTTGAAAGTCTTCGGATGGGACATTCCTTGGCGGTAGTCCTGACCACACCTTTTCTCTCCATCTGGTCCATGCACAGGGACACCTCTGCCTTGCTTAGGAGGCCTTTTGAGTCCTAACACCTGAGCTTAGTCCTTTCCTTCCAAAGGGAAAAATACCACAAATCATGTGGATATTTTAAGAAATGCGAGGCACGGGCAGACTACTCTGATTCCCTTGCCAAATTCCAGGGTGCTCTGCATGCTGATTTGTTGATTGGCAGCTCTCTGCCTTGGTTGATAACACAAAGATTAAAATTCTCTATTTGGAAAATTTGGCTCACTGCAAGCCAGTGGCGTGTACTATGTGAAGGAAGGGGAGGTAGCTTGTCCGTAAGCATTCAGTATTTTGGAGACAACTCCATCTCCCTCCCCCACCCCGACACTGAGAACAAGGCTCTGAGCAGTCTGGTGTCTGGCCCCGCAGGGACAAACGCAGAGAGGCCCCTGGCTCGGCAGTGCTTCTGTTGGAGACGGGGGATGGAAAACCTGGGATGAAAGGGCCCAGAGAGTCAATATTTTAGGATTTGTGGGCCGTCTTTTGTCTGCATCCAATATTTTCATCTTTTAATAGTTGTTTACTACCCTTTAGCTCAGGGACCAAGTAACACAGGCACAGGGTTGGGTGGGTGGGTGGGTGGGGGTCCTGTGCCAGCTCTTGCTTGGAAAACCGAGGAAACAAAAATGCCTCCCGGAAGTGGTCCTGCTGCAGGAACCACTATAGTCGCAGAAACTGTCCCAGATGTGACTGGGGCCACAGAAATGGCACGTGACCGTGCAAAAGCACAAGTTGGGGCCCGTGTGCTAGTACATGGGATAGTCCATGCGAGCCCACCGCTGGCCACCCTTCTCCCTAGTGGGTGGTCAGAGGGCGTTAGCCCACGATCACTCTGCAGGCGCCATCACCAACACAGCCGTAGCTCTGGGGTCAAGTTCATTTTTCTTCTGGAAGCCCCAACTCCAGTCGAGTAGCAATGCAAGTGACTGCAGAGGTGGGAAATGAGTTCATGAGGAGGTCGAGGCCAGTCAGCCAAGTGGCTTCTCCACCTTCCTGCAAGGAGGACAGTTTTCCCATAGTTGCGAGGGACAAAGGCTGTGGAATGGCAGGTGTCACAGCCACTGCCTCTAGGGTGGCGATTCCTGATTTCTGCACAGGCCAGGTGTGATTTGCCCTTGTAGCAGATCAAAGAGGTGGGCTCACTAGAATAGAAGAGGGGGTCCCCAGAGGGACCCCTCTGTGTCCTGTAGACGCATGGGAGGGAACTTGCCATGTCCACATCAGTGTGTTAGTGATTCAAAAACTGGCTGTTGGAAAGCACTTTGGACAACACGAAGCTGTGCCTGGGTACAGATGGTCATCGGCGCAAATCTATAGCTACCATGTGGAGAGGGACAGCCCCGGCCCCTTTATAAAACATGCTTTGGGCAAATGTATGTTTTGTTTTGTTGTTTTGTTTTGTTTTGTTTCACTTTCTTAATACCTGGCAAACTATCCAGGTGGTGTGTGAATCACCAATAGAAATTACAAAGTTTGAGAAAGTAGACTCAGCCTCACAAACAGTGGATCTCACTGAAGAAGAAGATGCTAAGCCTGAACCCACGGAAGTAAAACTCAAAAGAGAAGCCAGCAAGCCGCGGAGGACCTCCCTGATGGCATTGCTCAGACACATGGTAAGCCAATTCCTTCCAGCACAGCCGTGCACTTCCGAGCTCCGCTGCCTCGAATAAGGGGCAGTGCCCGGTGGCAGGGGATGTGCATGGGACATGAACGCCCAGCAAGTGAAAGAATGCCCTCCTCCTCTGGTTCAGTCTCGGAGGAAGCCTCGGAGAATGGCTGACCTTCTTTAATGCTGCCTGATTCTCTTTTTTATTAAGGAAGAGCTGAGTTCTAGCAAATAAGAGCATCGTCCTAAAAGTTAACATTATGGCTTGCATTTGATTTAATTTATTTTTCAAGTTTCCTTCTATTGGTGGCAAATGACGCTTACAACATGGTAATAATATGGAGTTTCCTTTGAAAATGCATTTATTTACATCAAGAACATGAGGCATTTATGTGGATAAAATACTAAATAGTCCAAGTTATACATTGAGGGGTCAAGAATTCTGAAGGTGACATGTGTGTGACTCAAATTTAGACAAAGCTAACAGAGAATTCAAATAGGGAAATGATAACATGATATTGTCATAGTGTATATTTATAGTTTAGCTGGTAAATTTGTCATTTTTTCCCTCTATGTATAGAATGGAAAGAATGTAGACAGATATCTTTGGTGCCTATGAAGAATCACATACTTTCAATCTCCAAATAGTCAGGAACTTAAATAACATAATGCAACAAAACCCGAATCAGTTGGAGAAAAAAAAAAAAAAAAACCCACGTAAAAGGTCATTGGTTTAATTCTCTTTTAATGAAAAATGAGAATTTCATTACAGTGTGCCTTTATTTTGGGGAGTATTGGGAAGTTTAATCCTTTGAGAAAGTAGTTCTCTAATTTCATGAGATCAGCCTGTTAAAAGAATTCTTTTGGGTCCACAAAAAAAAATAAAAACAAAACAAAACTCTTGTCAGTGGAAGTTGACGCATATTAGAAATAATTCTGTTGGAAATTGTTGACAGGAATCATTTTATTTTCCTGCTGGATTTTTCTGATGGAAAATAAAAAAGAAACTCAGCATGCACAGTAGACAATCCATGAGTGTGGCTGAAACCCCATCTCTGTTGCTGATCATTTGCTCTGTAACTTGGCACTAAAAAGGAAGATCAAGATTTGAGATTCTTAAACCGATTTTCACATTATGCCAAGAAAGAAAAGAACATTGAGTCTGTCTCTGGCAGCGCCTCTGCATGACAAATGAGATCCTCAAATAGTGCATCATAATATTGAGGGTGATCAGCCTTCCTGTTTCTGGATAGAGCTGGGAGTTACGGGGGGGGGGGGGGAATAGCATATTTTTGGATTGTTGGAACTTCCCCTAGAATCCCAGACTTCCTAATTATTGTCATTTTTTTCCTGTTTTGTTTTCATTAGAAGATTTTATTGCCATTTTGACCGATTCAAATGCACAAAAGACGTTCAACAAAGAATTATTCAGTGTCCACTCTTTTCTGGGCACTAGGGACATAAGGGAGAACATAAATGGGTGCAGTGTCTGTCCTCAGGGGGAGTAAAGCTTTAGTGAGGACAATGGATGTTTTTAACTCCGTCCTCATCCTCTCAACCATGAACTAACCCCGTTCACCTCACATACAGGGTCTCAGTGCTTCCCTGAGAACCGCAGACACTCACTTTTATACACATATTAATATTCCCATTGGGTAGATTCCTGGAAGTTGGCTTTCTGGCAACATGTTCGTGGCTTCCAAATTAATTTAAAGTCTTTGGGTTTATGCAAAGGGAGAGAAGGAAAAAAAAATAAGCCTGCTCCAGGGGCTTAAAAATAAAGACAGTATCTGGCGTCCTATTAAGGATTCCAGGAGAATGTTTTTGAGCCAAATAAGTGAAAATTCCAAACTAATTTTACATATTGTGAGCATAAAATATGGATTAAAAAAAAGATTTAATAGAAGAGAAAATTCAATTGCAAAACCTCTGTTTTGTGTTCGATTTCTTCATTCATCAGATCATTGATTTTCCACTTCCTGGACTCTGCTTCGCTTTAGTTTCTGAGAGCATATTTTAGTATCCCGTGACAAATTGACTCTCAGTTGATTTTTTTTCTTCAAAATAAGGCATTACCCAATTCATTTACTTTCCAGAAATTAACCTCTCATGAAAATAAAAAATGGAATATCATTCTTCCAAATAACTGTATTTCAAGTAAAAAGAATTCAGTAATAGAAGTCTAACATTGCATTCAATGCATGTAGGTGTACCACTTTGCAAAAATCCTATCAGCTCCTACAGGATTTCAAAATAATTGCAAGGAACATCTAAGACATCTGTCATGCCCTAAATAGAAAAAGATTCTTATACATATTAATTCAGCTGTATGTCAAGAAATTGAATATCTGAAGTGCTAGTATATTTTTATAAAAGGAGTGGGCAGAGTGCTGCATCCACAAACCAGGTAGGCAGGTTTGAAACCACAAAGGTGGCAGATAGAAATGTATAGATTTGGGATTTATAATTTGTCAATATAATAACAACTTGCACTTGAAAAGTGCGTTCCTCCTCCAAATTATTTTCACATACATTATTTCATTTAATCCACCTCTTAGCTCTTAATTTGGGACCATTCATTTTATAAGTAAAAAACTAACATTCTCAGACTCAGAGAAAGACTGTGAGCTTTAATACCAGGCCAATTAAAGGACCAAATGAGAAAATAGGTGAGGAATCAGAGTTCTTTATTGATTACAATTCATCTAAGAAGCTGATAGCTGTTGGAATTTACTATCTGGAAGGGGAAAGTAGATGGTTTGCAGTGGTAATTATAATTCAAAAAAAAACAGGTGTCTTCTAGCCAACGTTCTTGTTCTCAGATTTTCCCCTGAGTATTAAAATGTTGGTACTGATTTGCTCTTTGAAAGCAGGTTTCTGAAAGAAGCGTCTAATTGGGCAATTCCAGTCTCCACCAGTGACTAGGGTTTGTCTACCCTGGCAGGGTCACTGCAGGTCGCCGGGCACTCCTTGATTACTAGCGCAGCAGACGACAGTCCTGTTTTTCATGTGCCCACCACGTGGCGGCGCTGTGTTGGAGCTGCTTGCACGATCTCTCTCTTTTTTAAAAATTTTTATTAGTTGATGATGGATCTTTATTTATTTATATGCGGTGCTGAGAATCAAACCCAGTGTCTCACACATGCTAGGCAGGTTTACTTTCACATTGGAAAATTTGGGGAATTAACTTTAATAGCTTTCAAATTGTTCTTCAAAGTGCTACCACTGAGCCACAACCCCAGCCCCACATCTCTCTCTTTAGGGTAGAAACCTGAGAAGCCCAGGGCTTACCGCCTCCGTGGGCACCAGGCACTGACAGAGGACAGCGCTTTCTTCTCATTTTTGTTGTTCCTAACATTCCCCTTGCTCTCAAGTGCCACTGCTGCTTCTGGGCCTTCTGCCGAAGATGAGGCTATCTGGGCGCAGGACAACTGTCAGCTCCATTTTCTGGTGTGTCCCTCAGCGGTGATTCCTAAGGAAAGATCTTTTTTTATGTGTTGGGTTACTGCTCTTACCTGCAAGTACAGGAAGGCATAAGAGGAAAGCTCGGACATAGGTTTCCTGCATGTGCCTGTCATGAAAAAGAAATTTACCTCACTGGGCTAAAATATTCCAAATCTGTTTTATACGAGCATCTTGATAAAGCTCAGAGTCTGGGCTCATTACCTTTGTGGAACCTGGAAATTTCCAGTAGCCCCAGTTCCTTGCATTTGTGGTAGTGAGGTTGATCTAGTAAACAGCATCGCTGATATTCTCATAGCACATTAAAGTTTCATCCCAATTTTTCTTCTTCTAAATATCAGCTTTTGTTGAATTAAGTTGACATCAAAATTTTCCATTCCTTTTTGAATGCTTTTGCTAGAATTTTGAATGTCTGACTCCATGTATTGGAAACGGTTCAGATGTTCCTCAGCGTTATCAAGCTAGCCGAATTCAGGACACAGTGAAAGAAATAAAAAGTGACTTCATTAATATGCAAGGCTTGGGTACCACAACAAGATTCCCTCCCAACACTGCAGGCCAAGTGCCCTGAGACGCTTCCCCTTGGCTTCTCGGGGACAAAATAACCCGAGAAGAAAGTTGCTCAGTGTCAAATTGGAAAATTTTGGAAACTGATTTAATAGCTTTCAAATTGTTCTTCAAAGTGCTAGATGGTCTCAGAAAGACTTTTCGTCTCTTTAAACAGTAACTAGGCTATTTTTGACAGCTGGAAAAAATAAGCCTGTGTGGTTCTGGCCCTTCGAATGGCTGAGCCCAACCTTGTTATCCTGAGTTGTCTTTGAAGGAGGCTCTACCAAGAGTGAAGAAGGAGGGATGGAGAGGGAGGGGTGGGAGGGAGGGCTGTTAATGACCTCAGATGCACTAAATGACACCCTGAGTCACAACCCTGCCATCAGTCGGGTTTGTGCGCTTTGAGCTTCCTGTGCCTCCAAATGAGCAACAGAGAAAAATCACGGAAATGCTGAAGGTAGCCACTCCTATTTTTTTCGTAAAGAGGCTAAACTTTGCAGTGATCTTCCCGACAGCCTGAAGGTCTGTTTGCATCGCTGCCAACCTAGCAGGATTTAGATTCAACCCCAATTCTCATCCGAGAACCATCAAAGAAAGGGAGGGGAGGAGAGCAAATTGAAACCTTAAAACCGGCAGAGTACCTAACGAATACCAAATTGAAACAACTGACAGGAAATTCAAAACCCCTCCCTCTTCGGGGGCAAAAGAGAGAGCTTTATTTTCCAGAGGAGGGGGAAGGGCCATGCCTGACTCCTGGTGTCCATTCTGTTTTTGGCTTGAAGGACTACGTGTTCGTTTGTTTTTTGCCATTCAAAATTTCCCAGATGCCACCTAATGTGGACAGGCAGGCGTGTCCTGAGGACACGTTCCAGGCAGGAAGCGCCCTAAAGATGCAGCCTGAATCCAGGAGGCTGAATGAAATCCCCAAGGTCTAACCCTCACGTGTGATGGGCAGACTGAGGGCAAAGGCAACAGAGGCCGATTCTTCTTCTAAACCTTCTCAAGCAAGGCTGGACCTCAGCAGAACAATGCAGGAGACCCAGAGGAAGGAAAAACCCCTTTGTGTGTTAACAGATCCAAATTTTATGTCGAGGACAGGATGATTCTTATTTGCCTTTAGGATGAAAACCTTGGGGGAGTGCCACAGTGCTGTCCCTAAGGAAAGCATGGAGAGCTGTCAGACACCACTTCGTCCATCCCAGCCAATCAGAAGTGCATGTCAGGCTTTTGCCCTGTGCGAGATCTGTCAGTGTGGGTTTGGGGTCAAGGCACAGGATCCCACTCACTGTTATGCCCTTGGAGGTCCTGTTCAAGTCTTCTGAACTGGAGAGCACTGTTGACCTTGGGAAAGGGCTGGTCCCACACATGCCCTTCTGTGAGGTTTACCACCCTCCCTCTCACCCAAACCCTAATCGCGTGGCTGAAGCTAGTGTTACCAACTTCACAATAGATGTTCAGGAACCATTGTTGATTGAGCGGTGCCTCCTCATGCACAGTGATATTGGGAAGGTTTCCAGTATGGAGCACACACTCAGTCTCTCTACCCTGCTAGTTTCATGACCCAAGGTGTCTCTGAGATTCCTTTTTTTTTTCTTTTTTTGTCCATATATTGAGGGAAGGAAATCATCACGCCTCCTCCTCTTTCTTAAGGTTCTAATAGGATGAATGAATTATGCAAGTTGTCCTCTCATTTAGCACAGTGTCTTGGTGCTTAGCACCAGCCAAAAGTTAGCTTCCAAACGTAATCCTGCCATTACCTGTGAAGACATGAGTGCCACAGCTCAGAGGAGGCATATGATGCTCCTCAGCCCCAATGCATCTGAGTGTCTTCCACATTGTTAACTGTTTTTGCACATATTGTGGATTCCTGCTGTCCACTAAGAGCACAGCCTTGGTGACATGAGTGCAATCTGAGGTCTTCTTTGCCCCACTGTGCACTCCCTTACCAACTGGGAGGAGATGTTAAGCACTGACCAATTCAGGGATTAGACCTGAGTCAGTGTTGTTGATATGGACTGAGTGATTCATTATCAGATTTATCGAGCATCAATAATAGGGCATTATTAAATGCACGGTTAAAACTACAACCCCCAGGATTGGTCCGAATTCATTTGTGGCCAAATAGCTTAAAGTGCTGGTGCTCCAATTCCAGCATTAGTCAGCACCATTGGGGGGGCTGGTTAGATGGCTGAGCCCCAGACCCAGGATTTCTGATTCAGTAGATCTGGAGTGCTCGTCAGGTGAGGCTGACACTGCAGGTGTTGGAATCACACTTCTAGAAAAAATAGCTCAGAGTGTGGGGTTTAAGGAACCAAGGAACCAACTCAGCCTCAGCCAGGCCTGTTATGGGTGCTATAGGGGGCGCTACAGGGTGGAAAGCGAATGCTCAGTCTAACTCAAATCTCTACTTTAGTTAGACCCACCACCTAAATGGTACCAGCAGGGGGTTACATGGCTGGATTTCCCATTTGGAGATTCATTCTTGCAACATGTTCAACCACCGCTTGGTTGCGGCACTGATAGTACTGTCACCATTTATTTGTCTCAGAATGACCTAACCTAGGTTTGAGAGCTTCTGTTGTGGTTTTTGGAGGCCAAGGCTCGGATTCTGTCAGACTCTGGTTGCACATGTGGAAGGATATCCAGGTATCCCAAGACTCACAGGTTTCCGGTGGGCCTTGCGTTTGTCTTGATCCGAGTCTCAATAATGAGTGGCAGGGGTCATCATTCCAGAACTTGCTCGCGTTCCCCAGGTTTGCATACCATGGGAGCTGAAAGGCCCTTGTCTGTTTGTTATTTTAGTCAGTGAAAGGGGATGAAGGGATCCCGCCCTCAGAAGAAATAAACGGGAAAGACTCCAGCTGCCATGTAAGTGACCTTGAACTTGGTTTGGTGGTGGGCTTGGCGGTGTGTGCTCTTCTTCCTACCTGTCTGCAGTGCACTTCCCAGCTGCATTTGCAGTTACCAGCTGCATATTAGGCGCCTGCTGGACTCTGCAGACCTGCTGGGCTCTGCAGACCTGCAGACCGGGCCTTCCACAGCACTCTTCCCTCCTCACTTCCTGTCCTTCAAGTCAGCACAAGTGTCACCTCTTCAAAGAGCCTTTCAACCCGCCAGTCACCCCGCTTTGTGTTTTTGCTTCATCCACCGGTCACGAATTGCAGTCACTCAGCTGCCTGTCCCACCTGCCCCTCTCACCCACCTGGGAACATCTATGAAGCATTCATTTCTATTTCCCATCACGTCGCAGGGTGCTTGGCACGTCGTGGGAGTGAAAGACATGGGGTCACAGAGTTTGCTTCCATAATTTCTCTGTTCTAAGAAAACAGAGCTATGACATTTTTACAACCTCAGGTGTTCTTTAAAAAAAAAAATGGGATCATGCCCATCCTACTTTGTAATCTGCACTCTTCTTTTAACTTAAAAAATGTACCTCTGGAAAAAAAATGTCATCGATACTCTTTTTTCAATTTGGGCAAGATAGAGAAATGCTCGAGAGGCTGAGTCGTGGACTCAGACTGCCCAGGTGCCAATCCTGGCACAGCCAACTTTTTAGCAGTGTGACTTCTGGCCAGTTACCAAATCTCCCAGCATCTCGCTTTCCTCATTGATGAGGGAGCTAGGAAAAGAAGACCCTCTAGGGTGTCACACTCAGATGAGTCAATGCACACGGAGCATCCTTCCTGGCACAACAGCTTCCATGAATGTCAGCTGCTGCATGAGGCACCCTCAGCTGCCCTAACAAAATGCTGTAGGCTGGGGGCTCAGATGACAGCACTGGAAACTGGAAAGGCCAAGGCTAAGTGCGGGCAGGGGTCAGTCCCTGCTGAGTGCTCCCTTCCTGTCTTGCAGGTGGCTGCCCTGGAGCCTGGCCCTCACACTGCAGAAAGACAGAGAGAGAGCCCTCTTACATTAACCCTAACTCATCCTTGAGAATCAGAGCCCACCCTGTGACCTCTTTTAACCTGAATTACTTCCTTCATCCAAATACAGTCACACTGGAGTTGGGACTTTGGCCCAGGAACCTGGGCACACATTCAGTCTTCAGCAGTTGCTGTTTCCTTCTCTCACTGTTGGGCTGCTGGTTGGGAGTTACCACCCTGCAGCATGATTGCGCTTTTAGTATTTCTATAATTATATTTCTATAATAATCGGGGTTTTCTTCTTCATATCCTTCAAACTGTTTTTTTTCCTTTATTCATGTACGTCTACGCCCACCCTCAAAGTACAGTCTTAGAACCAAAACTTCCAAGCTTACCACATTGCAAACATGATAAACTTACCTAATTCAAAAAGCAAGAGGGGGGGGGACGTAAATGTGATTGTGTATTTGGTCTGGAATCTTCCGTGAAACCGCTATGCTAATTTTTCTGGTGGTTCTAAAACTGTAACGGGGGTTGGGAGTGTAGCTCAGTGGTGAGCTTGTGCTTGGTGTGCCCCAGGGTGTGGCCTCTACCCTCAGCCCCAAACAAGGCAAAACAAAATGCAGAAATGGAATGCAGTCTGTGGAAATCTACTTGGGCTCGCCCACGAGGCTCCTGAGAGTCTCTCAGAGAACTTGGTCTTCCAGGACCTTGAATTCAGGCAAGAGAGAGGCTTACTCTCTGGGAGGTCACAAATACTTATTTAATTTGGAGGGACAAGAGTAGATATTCCCTGCTCCTTTGCGATTCTCCTCTTTACGGTTGTAAAACCCTTAGTGGATGCTTCTAGGGATGGAAGCCCAGGCCCTCCTGCTAGATGGGCCTCCGAAGTCGGAATCGCATGAGACAGCCTTGTTCTTCCTGCCAGAGCTGCTGGGTTCCAGGAGAGGTTGCTCCCGAGAGCTCAGATGAGAAGATGCTTGTGCATTTGGAGATGGAGTCAAACCCAAGTAAAGGTTTGAGTTTAGTGACAGAGCAATCCTTGCATGGTTTTGATTCTCAACTGACTCCATGGATAAGGAGACGGTCAATGACCATCTTCAGAAGTTAGTACCTAGGTCATGGCAAAGGTGCTCCAAGCCTGGCCAGGAAGGAGCGGTCGTGTGGAGGGTGGACCTCAACTCTCCAAAGCTCTTTCTTGGTTCCTTGTGCTTCCCGCCTCCTGCCCCACAGTGACTCGGATAGGTAAAGACTTGGGAAGCATTTGGAGGGTGAGTTGCTGGTCATTCATTCAACATATTTCACTGGAGACCAACCCTGTCCCAGCACCTGAATAAATCCCCAGGTGCTCAATCCCCAGATATAGATGTTATTGAGTGAACAGAGAAGCCCCGAGTCCCTGTAAGCGTAAAGAAAGCAACGCTGTGCTCCAGAGGGGATCAGGGGCTGTGTCTCCCAGGAGATGCCATCAGAGCTGAGCCTCAGCGGGAAAGCATGGCGGCAGACTGGACAGAGGTTAGAGGAAATGTGAAGCCCTGTTCCAAGGGGAAAGCAGGTCTTGTGGCTGAGCAGAGGGACTAGAAGGGCAAGGGACAGGCGACAAGTGGAGAGAGGCATGGGGGCCACTGTCTTGTCACGCTCAACAGTTATTTACTGGTGTTTCCTCTGTACCAGGCAGTCAAGAGCCACACAGTCTTTTTAAGGAGTCGCCAATGGGGATACTAAGTCAGGGTGACCTACTTGTCCCCATTGGTCTGGGACTCTCCTGATCGTAAAGCTGTCAGTTCCCTGTCCTGGAACCTCTTTGTTCCAGGACAAAGGTGACTGGCCACCTTGTGTCTGGCATTTCACCTGGGCCAGACGCTGTGCCAAGCAGGCCTTCCATCCTGGCTAGTCTGATCCTGGCCACCCCACAAGGTGTCTTTTCATATTCATACAGACAAGGACACCAAGAGACGGAACCGTTTATTCCAGGTCATAGCAAGGATGTGATGGAACTAGATCCAAACCAGAGCCCTGTGACTCTGGACCCTGAGCCTTTAGCCCTTACTAGATCTTGACCTCTTCCACCCAACAGAAATGGGTCACAGGCTTCTGACCTCTCTGCAGAGCACCATGGTGGGCTTTTCTGTGTCATTCTGAGGCCAGGCCTGCTCCGGGCTGTCCATGGTACTTGGACATCGACGTCTTAGCACTTGCTGCAACTTGGCTGCTGGGCTGGGGCCGGGCGTGGAGGGTGTGTAGCCGAAGCTCGGCTTCTCTGGTGCTGGCCCTCGGTGCTTTTTCTCCAAGGTCTTCTGCCTCCTGAGAGTGGCCACCTGAGGCCACCTTCAGGGCTGAAGAGGCTCATCTAAGTGGCGCGCTGGGTTCACTGGGTTCAAAATGATCGTTCTTTGCTTGTGGTCTTCTCAATCATAGCTGCAGCTCTGTCAGAGAACTTCTTTCCTGGGGACAGCACATACCTCGATGGATCAGGTTGTGACCACGTATTCAGTGGCTCCTCTTGTTTGCTGTGACCACGGCTTGAAAACTTTTGAAGTCAGTATTTTAAAGTCGAAAATCGGCACATTTTTCATTTTTAAAAGATTTAGCTTTGAGGTTCCAATGAAAATACAGCCCATCCGTCAGCAGCAGTCTGCACGCCCACCCGGTGCCTCGCAGCTGGGATCTCTTTGGCCAGGGCATGTGACTTTCAGTTCAGAGCAGTCCCTCTGACCCGGCTTCCGCTTATCTCCCCATTACCAAAACCAGCGTTCCTTGAACTGGTGTTTTTCTCACACTCGAGAAATACTTCTTTGACCTGTGTTGCTCGCACCGCTGGGGAAAGAAGATCTCCAACTGGCTATTCTTACCCTTGGCTTCTTTTTTCTTTTTCTTTTTTTCTTTTTTCTTTTGCATTCACATTATCTGTCTTGCCCTTGTAGGCATTGGCGTTTAAGAAAATTACAAGAAAAGGATCTCTATTTCCTAACTTTTTTTCCCTTTTTTTGATCTGTAAATCTGGAATTTACCCACCATTTTCTAGACTCCATAGCTTCAGCTCTCTAGATGGTAGGAACCAACGGCAATCGTCAGCTTCTTGTCGTGGCATAGAAGAATGTACATCGAAACTCAAAATCAGCCAATCATCTTCTTTTGCCACCATTTCATGAAGTGAAAGGACAGTTTCATATCAAAAATTAAGGTAGATCCAATCACAAAGAAAAGAATGGGTATCCCCAAGGGGAAGAGTCCATCTGGTTATAAGTAGATTTTAAGCTGGTTTAAGCACAAAGGGGGCTTCAAGAACAGCTAGGTCAAGTGGTCTCACATGATTCCATCAACACCTTGTCGTTTTCTCCCTGTCTCCGCTCTGCTTTCTTGTGTTGGCTTCCTTTCCAGGCACGTGTACCCTAAAAATGGTGTTGGTTCTGAAAGCCCCAGGCTTACCTTTTCACAGCTTCAAATCTGTGCCTCTTAAGTTCTGAGAGTAGCTCAGCTTTTGCTCTTCTGCTCTCCTGAACCAATCATAGCTGCCCAATCACCACACAGAGTTCTGATTGGCCAGGCCTGCATCAGGTGTGCTTGCCCATGGGTAGAATGAGTTTTCTTAGACCCCATGAAGGGAAAAGGCTGGTTTCCAAAGAGCAATCCAAGTTCTGGTACCAACAAAGGAGGAAGAACGCTTGCTGGAAAAACATAGCATTAACTCAAGGGTTCATGGATAAGAAATGTCCCGCACCGAGCGTAACCTCATATAATTTTTTTCTCATTTCACCCAAGACTTATGAACCTGCAGACGCCACCCCTCATTTGAACATCCCTGCTTCCACACATTCACTCCGCTGCCTTTGGCAGTTGCCTTGCAGTCACTAAAAATGGGCTTTGTTTGAAATTGCCGCAGACGTCCAGCTCCACGGAGAAGCCCGCCACGCCACCAGAGCCCGAGCCCGCGCCCGCGGGGGCGGCCCAGAAGGGCTCAGAGGCCTCCTCCAAGGACAAGAGGCCCGCAGCCGAGACCACCAAGCAGAAGAACAGCAAGCAGGAGGCCAAAGAACCCGCCCCGTGCACGGAGCAGGTCACAGTGGACGCGAACTCGCTGCAGAACGGGGGCAAGTCCCCAAAGAAACTGGAGAAACCGCGACAGTCCCTGGGGGGCTTCCTTAAGGGCCTGGTAGGTGGATTTTTCGCCTCTTCTATCGGAGCTCTCAGGCAAGGGATGCAGTTTCCATACCTCTGAAGGGGAGGGCTGGCTGGGCTTCGGGAGCAGGAAAGAGACAAGGCCATAGGTATTTCCGGGTTCATGGTCAGGTGCTGGATGGAGGGGGTGGCCAGGTGCTGAGTGTAGGGGGAGGTGGGAGAGGGGAAGGAGGCTCGTGAAGGAAGGCTGAACGGGGCTGAGTCTGGCCTTGGGTTTGAGAGGAGGGACAGGGAGGCCTTGCAGAGCAGATTCCGTCTCGGGCAGGACCTCACCTTAGCCTGGAAAGCAGGCCAGGGGAGGCCAAGGCACGGCATGTTCTAGATGGAGGGATCCACAGGTGCACAGGTGCTGACCCTTTATGCAGTCATAACCGTTTCATTCCGTAGATACCAGGGGGCATCAGTGAGCTCTGGCGAGGAGGTCAGTGGGCACTCTCTCTCCCCTGCCCTGCATGTGGCTCCCAGCAGCATCTCCGGGGAGCTTGTTAGAAACACAGATTTCAGGCCCTAAGTTTCAGGTTCTGTGGTAAATGTCATCGTCTTGCTATCCCGCGTCTCTGTCCTCGAGTGTGTATGTGGAACCCCAGTTGAAGGCGGTGTTAAGAACCCAGACTTGAGGCTGCTTGGCAATGTGGAAGCCTGGCCGGAAGCCCAGCTCTCCCCAGCTCCTCAGGAGAAAAGCCCTTCCCTTGAAGAAAAGATGGGTATCCATCAAAACAAGGGGCTGCATGCAGATTGGTGGCCCCTGGGTGGTCCTGTTGGAGAGTTTGTCTCCATTCTGGGCTCCCGCTCCTCAGGGAGAAGTGCAAACCCTAGTCCCACTTTTCTCAGTGATTTTGTCTCCTTTTTCTGTGCTGTGTTCTGGTGGAACTGGTCACTGCAGTGCTGTGGCATTGGGTGGAACATGGTCTGCAGGGGCGGGTGGCCCTGGTGCTTCTGAGTCCACAGCCTGCTTCCTCTCTTTCTCTGTGGGTCCTAGTGTCTTTGGCCACAGATCCAAAATGCAGTCTGCGCTCTCTCCTTACCCTGGCTCAGGGGAGGGGAGCTAATCCAAGGGTCCTTAACCAGGAATGATATTGTCCTCCGGGGGACGTTTGGCAGTGTACAGAAACAAGTTTTTGACAGTCACAGCTGGGAGTAAGTCTTCTTGAGATGTCAGTAGAGACAGGGGTATGGCTAAGTTATCTACAGGGCACAGGACAGTACCCACAACAAAGAAGTGACCAGCCCAGAGCATCCACAGGACCAAGGTGGAGGAGCCCTGTTCTAACCCAATAGCACAGGACAGTGGACAGAAGGGGGATTAGCTGAGAGTCTGTGCTGGACGTCAGTGCCAGAGGCTTGGCTGAAGCCCCTTCCTCCTAGGTCCTGCGCATGACCTCAGTTTAACTGCCCGCCCCCTCTGAGGCTCAGGCTCCACCTGTAAAACTGAGCTCATGATTACAGCCATGGTCTTGATGCTCCTGTGGGAACTGAATGACTATTTAAACCACGGGGCCCAGTGCCCAGCACGAAGCAGGAGTTCAGTAGTAAAAGTCACCACAGGGGGATCCCTTCTCCCTTCCCTTCTCCCTGCAGCCCACATCCAGGGTCCTCCCTCACTCCCTCCCCCAGGCCATCTGCCCAGTCCCTTCCCACATTCTAAATGTGATTCCCTGCCCTGGGTTCCTTGGTCCATGGTGCTGGGTTTTGAACTGCAAAACCCGATGGTCCAACTACCAACGGGTCAAATGAGCAAAGCTGCATATTGGAGCCTTCCTCCTCCTCCAGCTCATCCTCTGGAGGGGCCAATGTCTTGCAGGTGGCCGATGCTCTAGGCACATATTTATTGAAGGAATGTATGGGGCATGAATGCATTATCAGCTTATCCCATTTACGTTGTACCGTTGTGGGGGTGTTAACAGAAAAACTACATAAATTAAATTTAAGAGAGTTGATTTGAGCAAAGAACAATCCAAGAATCAGGCAGGATTCAGGACCAGAAGAGGTTCAGAGAGCTCCACCCTGCAGCGTGAGCAGTGACCTCACAGACGTGTGCCAGGGACAGAGGGGGACATCGCCTCTGGCCTGTTGGCCACGGGGATGCCTTGTCCTGTTCAGCATGGCCTGAGGAGGCACTGGCCTTCCTTGGGTGGGGTCTGACTAGCTGGCAGCCTGCAATTGGCCACGCTCAGCTGTGATTGCCAGAAACCCAGGTATTCGTTGTTTATAAATTACACTCCTGAGTAGGTATTGGTTTGTTCTTGAAGTAAGCTAGGTTGTGGCTTGTCACATAGAACTTAAAGTAAAGAGATAGCCTCAGGCTAAAAGCCTCCTGTTTATTTAATTTAACAGGATATAAATGCCCAGTTCAATCTCCCCAGTTGTGGGAGCAATGGCTGCCAGATGCAGAATTCCCTTGTATTGGTTGCAATTTTAGGCAGACTGAGGAGAAGGTATTTTAGATTTGCTTATTTCAATCTCCCCACAACATGGAAGTACCCCCTCTACCATCAGACCTCAGATCCCAATCGTAGGGCTTCATCTTTTGGGGTCACGGCTGGTTCCCACACACCCAGAATAGGACCACGCACACAACATGCACCCAGTAAACAGAGGGACGAGCAGAAAGAAGAAAATATAATGGATATTAAAATATTGTGCCCAAGAATCAAATAACTTACTTGAATTTGTTACCCTTTAATGGAATGTTGTTCTCAACTTCAGCCGCACTTAGGGGTTCTACTTGCATGTTTTCAAGAGTCCACTTCTGGATGGAGACACTGAGGCCTGGTATTCTTTATGGTTTGATTTACTCTTTGAAATAATTCAGATTCCTTCCTTTCTTTCTCCCTGTGACTAGCTTCCCGGGTTACCCAGGGCCCTGGCCTCCTCCTCTCCCTGCGCACTGATCTCTAGATGTGGAAGATATTCCCTCTCTCCCTTCCTTTCTTCTCCCATCATTGTTCTACAAATTAACAAACAAAATTGGTAAACTAAGTTAGCAGACGAGAATGTAAGTGTGGGCCAGGTGGTGACACATACCTGTAATGTCAGCGGCTCCGGAGGCTGAAGCAGGAGGATGGCAAGTTCAAGGCCAGACTCAGCAACTCAGCAAGGCCCTGTCCTAAAATAAGAAATAAAAAGGTTGGGGATGTGGCTCAGTGGTAGAGCACCCCTGGGTTCAAGCCCCGGTCAAAAAAAGAAGAAGAGGAGGAATCAGTGTGTGAGGGAGGTCACTGAGGGAAATGAGCAGGGTACGTGGGAGTGCAATTGCTACTTTGAATTGGATCCAGAAATGTCCCAGCAGAGAAAATATCTCAGGTGATAGCAGAGGGGTCAAGGTGTCAGACAGCAGACCAGCAGGGCACTTCCTGGAGAAGCAGCCATGGCATAAGGCCCCAGGGAGGGGTCGAGCTGGGGGAGTCCAAGGTGTTTGAAGAGGAGACAGAGGCCTGAGTGGCCGGGGACACAGTGGATAACAGGGGGTGAGACAGGAACCCTGGGCGGGGAGAGGACGTGGCCAGGGCCCTGGGTAAACTGGGAAGCTAGTCACAGAGTTGAGCAGGAGGAGTGGGATCCCGTCCTGGCTGTAAAGGCTGCATGGCTGAGGCCCAGAAGAGGCTGTCAAGGGCAACCCCAGAGATAGAGCATGTCCTTGTGAGCCTGGAGGCTGGTGACGGTTTAGCCTAGTGATGTCCGCCGCAGAGGTGACGGGTGGATGCGTTTAAGACACTAATCACAGTTGTAGTCACTGGTCCCTGCTCTGGGACCAGCTTCTTACGGACATCATCTCCTCAGTTACGGCAGCAAGCCCTCCCGGTGGGAGTACTTATTCCCACGTCTTGGATGAGTCCGCCAGAAGTGGTGTCCTCTCCTGGGCATCCCACGGCATCTGGAGGCAGAGAGGAGGCGGGACTCAGCTCCTGCCTGCCTCCGGCCACTGCCAGGAGACCTGCAGCCACGGTGGAGGCAGGAGGGAGGGGTTTCTGACACTCTCCAGAGATGGGACCCCCAGGAACTTCCAGCTGGCACATTCCTGTGGTTGCCCAGCCCCTTCCCGAGAAGGTATTGGTGGTGCCAGCACTGGCACCAGGAGGGTGCCTTGCAGTGCCCGTCGCCCACAGGAAATGAGGTCCTGCCTCTGACCGCGTGTCCACCAGGCCCTCCTCGGCCACCCACCTCTCTCAGTCCTCATCTCCTCCTTCCCCCTCCAGCTGCTGGGGTTCCCACCCAGAGCTGCCTGGCTGATGCTGACAGGTCAGGAAGGACCTGGAAGGAAGTCCTGGGGCTTGGATTTTTCTCTTCTTTTTATGCAAAGGGACTCTCTCTCTCTCTCTCGCGCGCACACACACACACACACACACACACACACACACACACCTGATAAAAGTGAACTACCCTGGCCGGTGGAGATTGGGTCCCACTTCCCCCAAGCCCCCCCAACTTCCTGTCCTCCTCACCTTTCTGCTACTCACAGGTCCCCAAAGCTCTGGAACTGTGTGCGCTGTGATCTGCAGGTGTAGCAGATGGTCAGCGGGCGACTTGCCCAGGGAAGACGGTCTCCCACTGGGCATGGCCTAAGGCTTACACCCATCAGCTCTGCACCACAAGGAGCTTGGGACAGGGACTAGAAGGAGTGGAGAGTGTGCAGGAAGGGGCCGGGGAGGGGTGAGCCAAGGCCCAGGCTTCAGGTCAGGGCGGCCTGACCATCTGGCACAGTGCAGTCCTGGGTCTTCTTGGAGATTCACTTGCCTCATCTGTAAAATGGGTTAGTGGCCGCTGCCCAACTCACCACATTGGTAAGAGAAAAGAAGAGAGAGTGGCTTTGGCACTATTAACTGTGAAGCGCCCTCCTGACACACAAAGCAACACATACAGGACTCCCACCTCCAGAGTCCAACCCCAAGCCGCAAAAGAGACGGTGCAGGAAGGAGTGGGCCCCGGGGAAGGAGGGGGTCTTTGCAACCTGAAGAGCAAGTGCTGTTTAAACAGAGTGCCACCAGCAGCCATGTACATGAAAGCACTGGATTTTTAAATGTCAGATTTAATGTTAAAATAAGAGAGCATTTCTTGTGAAAGTCCACTGGGCCGCCTAAGTTTGCTGTGTTTAGCCCATTGGGACTGAGGTCAGGGGACTCCCAAGGAGGAAGCGTTGGCAGAGAAGCGTGTGCACACCGGGACACCAGGGAGGTGCACCGGGTGCAGCTGGCTCCTGGGTTTGAGCCTAGCTCTCCGTCTCAGTGGCTGTGCAGCCAGGTCAAGTCGGCACCTCGAGCATCAGGTACCTCTTTAATGAGGCTAATAGTACTGATGTCATAGGGTCAGCATGAAAATGAAATGAGATGGTATACAGTGTCCTTAGAGTTATATATGCTGGCTATGGCTTATACGATCCTCTGTTACCATGTAGACCACATTATACCACACGGCACTGTGCACACGGGCTATGTCATGTGCACCAAGGATGTATATTTTATTACCCTAACCAACATTATCCTGCACTATGTATGTTACCCTATGCTACATATATAAGGCAATACTGTAGTTTATATAATGTGCTCTAATACTATGCTGTATGTATTATGTTTAGTACAGTAGGCTATACTATGTATATATTCCATGCATACTAAATATCTTCCATATTTACCATATAACCTATACCAACCACCAATGTTTCTCTGTCCCAGCATTACACTACCTGCCCCCACCTCTGTATACCATACATGCTTTGCCACATTGCACTATTCTGTACTTATTATCCACATACTTTATCACTCATGCACTCCAGTATACTCCACCAACCCTACTGCTCTACTCTGGACCAGCAATGCTGGTGCCTCTGACCATGCCCAGCCTGTGTGAACCTCAGACCCATCACGACATGTAAAAGAAGCCAGGTTCAAAGGCTGCGTACTTCACCATTTCTTGACATGACATTCTGGAAGAGGCACAACTCTGGAATAGGAAACAGATCAGTGGCTGCCAGGGTCTGGGGTCAGTCTCGACTGGGGAGGCTTAACTGTAAAGGGGACAAGGTGGGGTGGGGGAAAATGAACCCATGCGATATGTTGGTTTGGGTGGTGCTAATGTGACCTAGTCACATGTTGATCCACGCTTATATCACTACAGACGGAAAGGGACAGTTTCATAAGTTCTACTGGACAGAACAGGTAGAACAGCAATAACCACAGTGGCAATGGCAGGTGCCCTCAGCCTTCACCCTTCAGGAGCAGCCACGGTGTGCCAGGTCCTTGCAAGGCACCGAGGACACAGCAGACAGAATCCACGGAGCTTGCACCCTGTCAGGAGGCAGGTGTGAGACTCACAAGACAGATGAGAAGCTCACTTCCGATAAAATAAAACAGGGTTGGCTTATGAGCGAATAAGACAGGGATTGCGAAGGGACAGCTGAAGTGTGGGGTGTACACCCCAGGGACTGTTCTAACTGCATTATAAGTATAAACTTGCTTTGTGTTGGGAACCAGCCTCTGGGAATAGTTTTTTCATTTGTAATGATAAATTTGTAATTTGTCCAAGATCTGGCAAAGCTAGAAGGTAATCTAGCTGGGCAGTGAATCTGGACATCTGATTGGAGACCGTTCTCCTATCCAACACTCAGGTCTAAGAAACATTGACTCAGCATGACACCTAGCACGGAATAAGTGCTCACCAAAAGGTGATTTTTGCTGTTGCTATTACCCATCTTCAATGGGCTACCCCTTCTTTGTTTTTTTTCCAGGGACCAAAGCGGATGTCAGATGCTCAAGTGCAGACAGACCCGGTATCCATCGGACCAGTTGGCAAATCCAAGTAAACATCACCACAGTCCCCACCAGGGTCTCCCACCACCAGGATGTTTTCTCCCCACTCCATCTCCTCCCTAAACACACTCTGTATATATATTTTTTTCTTCTCATGGCCATCAAATGAAATTTTGCCTACAAATTAAGCCTGAGCTGTTGTATATTGAGGTGTATTATTTATCTCTCTGGTCCAGTCTTTCCTAGCAAATAACTGTAAGCATGGGTCCGCAGGTTGAATCCTTAGGTCCAGAGAGTTGACTGCTGAGCCGGGGAGGAAGGAGGTGGGGGGATGCATTTGTGTTAAGCTATGAAAGATGGATAACAAGGAAGTCACAGAAGAAAATTGCCTGAGGGGGGGGGGAGGCATTGTAGCAAATGCATGCTCCTCCTCTAAGTTTGAAGAGGGGAGGGGGAAGATCCGTTTGTTTAAGTTCACACTTGAAGGAGGGAGAGCACGGGCTCTGTGTTGGGCGGTTGCCAATTTCCTGAAATGGAATGTGTGGGGTATGAGAAAGGAATGAATAAGAGTAGGTTTTCAAACAGGGCCCTTGAGAGTTATTGACAGGAGGGAAACGATTGACTGGAGAGGGCTTGAAACGATTTGGGACAATTGTTCTTTAGGCTCAGGGACAAGGAAAAGGATCACAGCTTCAGAAAACAAGAATACAATACAGGAGGTTGCACGTTTGTCTTGCAACACAAGGGGGCGCCAAGGTCTCCCCTTTTTATTCTGCATCCCGCATCCCTAACAAGGATCTGGTCTCGCGAAGCTTACATTATTAATGTCTCTCAGATGGCTGGGGGGCTTGCTTCATCTGTTCCGTCTGACGCTTATCTCAAGTCTGTCTGTAATTTCCTAATGTTCTCAGGATGTGCTCTCATAAAACCCTCCCCATAACCCCAGTTAATAAAAATTTACAGAATGTTACTCAAATACCTGAAGTTTTTTTTTTTTTAACCCTTGTAGAGAGGACTAAATAGGGCGATGAGTCTGTTACAATGTAATTCACAGCAGCATAGGATTGACTGACAGTCATGTATACTGTATCTTTCTTTTTCTGATTTAATAAAAAATTCATTTATTTCTAAAGTATCCTTTGATGTTCAACTTTTAAAGCAAGGTGCTCCTATTCTGTTTGACGTGGCTTGACCTTCCCCAGTGAAAAAAATCAATGCTCTTCCTCTTTGGAAGATCCTTTTGGAATCTTTGGAAGATAATTCTCTCCCCTCCGATCCTCCTGGATTTCCTCATGTGTGGGTGCGCATGGAGAGCACACACGTGCGTGCACACATGTGTGTGCCTGTGCATTAGCATATGCATAGTGCTAATACAATGCTGTCTTAGGCCAGGATGCTGAGAGCAGAGCTCAAGACAGGGATTTAAATGCTTGTGATATATTGAGAGTGGGCAGAGGGGAAAGGGGGTCTCTGTTGGCCTGCGAATTGCACTACACGGTTCATTCCAGCCTGAGGCAGGAGGCCAGCCCTGGGCCCCTGGAAGTGAGCCACAGCTGTCCTGGGAAGTGGCAGGGTCAGAGAGCTGCTCCCATCCATCTGAGAGCTTGGGACCCTCAGCAACCAGAGGATGTGTGCGTGGGCAGTGTCCACGGCAATTACAAGTGTATGTCCAGAAGTGTATTTATGCCCACCTCTGTACACTTGCACACTCATGTTTACAAACAGAAAAGTGTAGGGGTGGAGCATACGCGGTGCACACAGACCCACACGCACTCCCTGCTCTCCAGATCCACCCCACACTGATCAGAACTGAGCCTTGAACACAGTCTCCCTACATGGACCACAGCACGGGGCCACGGCCTTTGGCAAGCTGGCTTCTTGAGACATGTCCCCAAGTCCCATCTCTCCCATCACCCAAACTTGAGTGGAGGGTTTGCTGTGGGACCTGCCAGCACCCATCGAGACTCTAGGTGCAAGGAGAGACCAGAGGCCGCCTGCTTCAAGCTGGATTGGTTTCTTCGGTCCTGACCAGACCTGGAGATGACTGGTGCCTGGCTTCACGCTGTTGAGAGCTCTCGGGCCACCCCAGTCTGACTGCTGCTTCCACAAAGCAGGAAGGACCCCTCCGGGAAGCCTGTGGGGAGACCGTCCCTCTGCTGTGGCCATCTGAGAACAGGGGATGGATCCCGGAAATCAGGCAGCTGACGGCTCCTTTGTCCCCAAGCCCCTGAGGGTTTGCCTGCTGTGACCTTTGGTGAGCTGCTGGCGGCTGTCCATTGAGGAAGGTGACAGTATCATTTGCAAGTTTCACCTCGCTGGGCACAGGAGGCTTTTTGCCTAGATGAGAAATGTCCCCAGCAGGAGGTGGGGACGGGAAGAGTGAGTGGCCAGGCTGGGTCACTGATGCAGACTGACCCTCCCTCTATACCTCCCAGAAACAAAACAAAACAAAACAGGGAAAAAACAAAAAGCATTCTTTGACTCCATGAAGCATGGCAGATGTTTTTTGTTTTTGTTTTTGTTTTATAACTGGTGTGCTCTCCTCCAGGGCCAAAGAAAAGAAAAATCTTTTAATGAAAAAAAAAAATTTTTAAAGACAAGAATATGTAAACCACGGAGAACTCAAAAAATGCCTTGCTGGGGCACCCTAAATCCAGCTGTTGTGGAAAGAGTGAGTTTCCACTCCACTCTGTTGTGTGTGTCCTGTCCTGGTCTCTGGCTCCCCGCATTCGCTTCTTGTCTTCAGTTGCATCCCCTTTCCTGGCCATTTACAACAACACTAATCTCCACTCCTAGGGTACAAAAGGGCAGAAATTCTGCAGGGGAGCTCAGGAGAGCCCTGAGGACACAGAAGGATTAGGATTCAGGGAGGGACTGATTCCACCAATGCCCAGCCCAGCTGTGTCCCCAAAGGGGACAGAGGCAGAGCCCAAGTGGCCACAGCCCGTCACTGCAGCCTGCCCTCCGGGAAACAGGGCCTCAGGCCTCGGGAGGGCAAAGGTGCCTCTCGATGAGGGTGATTCATTGACTTCTGTACTGGTTTATTTTTAGGTGCACAGGGAAGTGTATCTTCTCCCATGCCAAGAAGATGTGGCCTTTCCAGGAACGGCGCTGGTGACCTGAAATGGCTGCCACCATGCGCGCACACCCACAGAAACGTGTACACTCTCACACTCTCACATGCACACACACACATACATGCACAAACACACACACACACACACACACACACACACACACACGCTCTGCTTTCCAGTTCCAGCTAACGGTGACTTTTGACTGATATCCATAGAAGAATTATTGAAAAAAGCAGCTGTTCCCAGCAGCCCAGGAGGCCCCTTTGAATCCACCACCTTGGGGAACAAGCAACCCGCCAGGAGCTGCAGCGGAGGGGAGGAAAGAGAGCAGGGAAGTTGGTTGTTTGTACCCCTTTTCTTCAAGCATGTTGTCAGGGATGTAAGCACAGTCTGTCTGTCTGTCTCTCCCACAGAGGCTCCCCCCCCCCCTCTCTCACTCTCTCGGCTGCCCTTACTGTTTGCAAAGAGTCCAGATGTGCTGAGATCCCATTAAATTAGATTCCAAGAGGCCAGAACATGTCCCTCTGGATCCTTCTCAAAGAGCTAGCAAAAGAGCAGATCTGTGCAGCCAGGATTTGACAGGGTCATTTCTTCTGTCAGATAGTCCCAGCTTCATCTGAAGCCTTAAAACACAACGTCACCTCTCCTACTGCCCTGAGGGAAATGTGCCCGTCTAACTTGCTCACACTGGGGGCGGGTGAGGGGCGCTTTGCAGCCACGTGCGGTTGGGGGGCTTGGCTTTCACCATGCTCTCAATGCCCCCTTTAAGCCTTTTAAGAAGGCAATTTTGCACGGTGAGTAGAATTAGGCTTCTCCGTGGTCAAGATTTTGTTTGCTCTATCAGTGAAAATGAAGAGGCACTGGCCCCCTGGAAATTACAGGCTGCGTTAGGAAGAAAAGAAATTATGAACAGCAGATTCTGCACATGGGTAAGGCAGCTCTGCAGCCCAGGCCCAACCTCCCTGCTCCGTCAGGGTCCAGCCCTTAGCAAAAATTGGTTTTTCTGGGGAGTGTGACTCTTTAGCCTCTGCTGCCCTCTTTGCTCTCCATCCCCAGGCCTCTAATTGGCAGAGGCAGAAGCAGCAGCCCAGGCAATTTCACAGGAGTAAGGGGAACACATTACAGTTTACAGACTGTTTTCTGAATGCATTATCTAATTTAAAGCCAAATGCCCCTAATTGAATTTAATTGCTTCCTTGGTTGCATTTCATCATGGGGGTGACTGGCAGGCGCCTGAGTGAGTTTTGTTGTTGTTTTTCAAATGAGCACTTCTTGACAAAATGGCCCCCAGCTGCACCTCTGCTAATGATTGCCAGAGAAAGTCTTTCCTTACCCACCGACTGTCCCCAAATCCAGCCACACGGGGGCACTCCAGGACCTGGGGTCCTACCAGCTCTAGGCGTTTTCCCAAGATGGCCTAACAAGGAAGTTGGGCCAAAGCAGTATCCGGAGTGTGTTGCAGATCAGCTTCTAGAAAGTAGTCAACTTTGATGAGGACAACCAGGCGAGAAGGCCAAACAGGCAAGTCATTTGCTTTCTATGATTCCCAACCCTCCAAAGGCAAGTGTGTCTCCATCCTTATGTGCTCCATCCTGCAAGACCAAGGCTGTGGGACTGTGAAACATTTCAGTCACCCTTACTGGTCATCAGGCCCCACAGAGCCACCTTGCCTCCCACCCTCCACACCTGTTGTCGTGAGCTGGGAGATGGTTCCAGCCACTTGGTGCAGTGGTGGGCACGCTGACAGGCACGCTGGGGGGCACGCAAGGAGCATTTAGTGAGAGCACCTCTACCAGAGGGTGCTTTAGTGCCAAGTAACAGAAAGCCCCAAGTCAAATTAGCTAATACGATAATAACAACGAAGATCTGGATTATTTCACATATAGGCCTTGGGTAACAGCCTTGGCTTTGACTATCTGAGACTCTGTGCTGGCTGATGGCAACCATGAGGAGACACAACATTACCTGCAACAGGTGTCAGGTCACAGTCTGACCCTGGTTCTCTGAGGCTCTGCCTTGTTGTATGGGTTGACTTCATCCTCAAACTAGTGGCCGAGCGACGGCTGCTGTTCCAGGCAAGGGGAGTGGGGGGTCGATATTGTCAGTGTCAACTAACCGTTTTGGTGAACGCGTGCTGTCCTCCATACCGGTATTTTTAAGGTGAGCCATTTCCCAACAAATCACCCCTTTTCAATTCAGATTGATAGGCCCTGGGTAATTATGAAGCTCCTCTCTCCAAAGCAGGGGATGGGGGGCCTTCTGGCTCATCTCATGGATGGCTCTGTTCTGGTCTGTGTCTAGCACAATGCCTGGAGTAGTAGATGCTCAATAAGTGCTGGCTGCATGGATAAATTGATAAATAAATATTCCACAGAGACTTCCTGCTTCAAGCAGGTTACCTTCTATTGTTGTATGAGCATATTTTAGCTCCAAGTGCTGCTCATTCTCATCAGATACCCACCTCCACAGGTGGCCAGCCCAGTGGCTCTCTAAGTGTGCTTCCAGGTCAGCAGGATCCGCCTTACCTGAGATGGTGTTAGGAATACAGATTACAAGCCCTACCCCAGATCCACAGGATCAAGAGCTCTCGGAGTGGGACCTGGTCTCTGTCTACGGAGCCCTCCCCGTGGTTCTAACGTAGGAGAGACTCTGAAAACCACTGGTCTCAGAGGAGCTGCCACTTCAGTGAGCATTGGCCCTGAACATGCACCGATAACAAAAGCTGGCATTGAACTTTGCCATGCCATGTCCCAGGCATCGTGCATCCCACAAATCTTGTTTACTGATCATTTTACAGATGAAAAAAACTAAGGCTGAGAGAGAAAAAGCAACTTTGCCCAACGTGGAAACCCATCCTAAGCTCCTAAAGGCCCACTTTCGTGCCTGTGGGAGAGACAGGCCAAAAGATTATGGTGTGACGCCATGGGACATCGTGGGACCCAGAGGAAGGCACAGCAGAAGACCACCTGGAGGGCACACCTGAGATGGTGACAGCCAGACTGACAAAGGATAGAGTCCCCGGAAGAGCAGCAAGTGCTAGAGCAGAGTCCAGAGAGAGCACAGCAAGTAGCTCAGCAAGTCAGAGCACGGCGGGAGGAGAGAGGCGGGAAGCGGCCCAGCCAGATGCGTCGGGACATGTAGGAAGGAGTTCAGGGTAAGAAGTTTAAACTGTCTAGGGGCTCGGGATGTCGCTCAGTGGCCCAGGGCATGCTGAGCCTGCAGGAGGCCGCGGTTCCCTCCCCAGCAGCACAAGGAAGGAAAAAAGAAAGGAAGAAAAGCTATCTGCAGAGGGCAATAGGGAGCCTAGGAAGAGACTTGAGCTGGAGAGTGGCAAAGTCAGGTTTGGGTAGGATCCAATCCCAACGACATTCAAGTAATATTCATCCAGTGGCCTATCTGCCAGATGTTGATTATAAAGTGAATCATTTTCCTTTAAGTTTGTAACCAATGCTCAGATCAACATCTAAGTGGCTTTAGCTCTTAAAAGGACACATAACTGTTCATTCCCAAGCGTCATAAGTGTGGACTTGGAATTTGGCCTACCCATCCTCCCAGATGATCCACAGCCAGGTCCAAGGCAGTGAAGTCTTGAGCAAGTGGCTTTGCCTCTCGGAGCCTTAGTTTGTCCTTCTCTAGAATGGGAATAATAAAGACACGTCCCTGAGCGAGCGGGCCTCTGAGGGCAGGAAATGGGAGTCTCTTAGGGAGAGTCCATAGCCGGCAGCTGACAGGTGCGCAGGAAGCATTCCTGCCGAGGGTGCAGGTGACATCTGTCCAGGGAGAACACGGGTTCTCTCTTTAGTGCGTGGGCCCCAAAGCCACCAAGTCTTTAGCTGCCGGGCAGCGAGAGAAAGGAGGAAGGAGAGAAGACCAAGAAAGAGGCCAGTTTCCTCAGGGCTCATCCTGTTCTGAAGCAGAGAGAAACCTCCGGAGGGTCGTTGGCTTTCCTTGTTAGACCCACTGAGAACAGGAGCCCGGTTGCCATGGCAGCAGAAGGGGCAGATGCCCCACCCGAGGGCTCTTTGGCCCACCGCTGAACGCCCAGCAGCCCCGGCGGCTTCCCAGCTCAACGCCCCCAGCCTTCTCGTTCCTTTTTGGTGGCTTTTTGCAGAGGCGGTGGGCTCTTGTTTAGTCCACCTGTGGGGCTTTCTGGAAACATCTGAGATTTTGTGCCCGAGGGGCAACCCTCCACCAAAGAGGCATGGGAAACGTCGACCCCAGGATTTATCAGTTCCCATCTCTCAGGGGGACACACTTGAGGTTCTTCTGGGCCTTCCCACGGGGTCCTCAGCAGGACTGGACACAGCCGCCCCCAGTCGCATTGTGCTCCCGACCCCACCCTCCCTGCTCTGTGCTTCCTGGGGTCCCCTCCCCAATAAACAAGTGCATCCCGTGCCGGTCTCAGCGTCTGCATCTCACTTAGGGTCCTCTCAGGACAACTGAGCCCCTGCCAAGGATGGGGACGGAGGGAAGTGAATACGACAGGAGTCTTTGAGATGCTAGAGGAGGCCCAAAGGAGTCCTAAGGCAGGGAGGCAGCAGAGGCAGAGATACAGAGGCCAGGGCTTCTCTTAGACACAGAGGGCAGGGGAGAGGCAAAGGTACTAGAGCCAGGGAGCATGAGCACCCCAGGATGTGAAGGCCAAGTGCATGGGGCGGGGGTGGGGGTGCTGAGGAGCCCAGGGGAGCTGGGCCATTCAGGGATCTGCTGTGGGAGGGGCAGGAACCCCACTGGCCTCTCCCAACCAGAGCCACTTGGCAACGCAACCTGGGAAACTGCAGTTTGAAGGGCCGTTGGGAAAAAGACCCGAGAGCATGCAGGCCAATGCCCAGCACAGTCGGAGGGGAAAAAAATCAGGGAGCAGCCATGGTTAGGGCTCCAGCTCCTACCCTGGGTCTGAATCAATGAAGATCGTGTTACAGCAGTCCTGGTGACAGACCTGTCACCTTCTGCATCTTCAGAACAGAGGAGTGATTAGGAACACAAGCTTGGGACCAAATGGCCTTGGCTGGAATCCAAGTTCTGCAGCTCACTAGCCTCGTGGCCTTGAGCAAGTTCTCGACTTCTCCAAGCCTCACTTTCACATCTATGAAGTGGAGCCAGTGGCCATAGCCAGGTGTGTGGCACTGTGCCACACAAGACCCTCAGCACCACGCCTGCCACATAACCAGGGCCTGATCAGCCTGCCCGCTGCAGGAGCAGTTGGAGACTGCGCTGCTCTTTGAGCAGCTGTCAGCCCATTCCCACTCCTACTAGGACTCGGTTCTTCTTCTCCCCCCACTTCAGGGCTGCAGTCTGCCCCTAGATGTCTTCAAAACATCTTTCCGCTGTCACAGAGGTCCTGCCAGTGCTGGGGGGCGCGCCCCCTCCTCCCTGCTGGCTGGCAGCCCTCTCTCCCACCCCCCACCCCTCCCTATCTTGCTGGCCAGTTGCTCACAAGTAGCTTTAGCAGTTTTGAGAAGACAAAAACAGGAAGAGCCCCAACCCCGGCTGAGGCTCCAACACTCATGTGCAAAATCCTTCAGCCCTCAAAAATGAGGGCCTTGAAAAATCAGGCCCCGTGGCCAAGATCTCTGGATTTGCTTAATCATTTCCTTTGCAAATTTCTAACCACCCTAACCATGAAGAAGAGCTGGTGAGAAAACGGGAGGCGGGAGTCGAAAACGTTCTCAGCCGACCACAAGACGGGACAGGAAATTCTGGAGTGGCGGGGGAGGCATTTTTTCTTTAATCCCTCAGCAGCCAGGCAGCCCAAGATAGCAGCTCTGAAAAACTGGGCCTGGTCCAAGAAATGACCATTGTAACTCTTCTCCTGTGCTGAGGGCTTTCAGGGAAGGAGAAGGAACATAGCAGAGAAATACCAGATGTCGGATTGGATGACACTGTCGCAGGAGTGCTGGGCTTCTCTGCAGGAGGGTGTCCCGCTGTCTCCCGCAGTCTCCTTGGGTCCCAGCCTGCTGCTGATCTTCTGGGGTCAACTGCTCCTAAGTACAGTTTCTCCTCCATCTTTCTCTCTCACCCTCCCATCGCCTCTCATTCCAACGACAGCCAGGGAAAGTCAAAGCCATTGACTATCTCCATTTACCTCATCCACTGAATACAATGGCCCAAAGCAGCCAAAATACATATATATATTCTTAAGGTACCTGGGACAATGCAGCCATGTTCCGCCCCAGTGGTAAACAACTATGAGCCCAACAGTTGATTTTTTTTTTCAGCAGAACTTGTGAAAGACAGAGAATAAAACAGGTACAAGGAAGAAAGAAAGGAACAAAAAGAAGGAAGAAAGAAGGAATTAAGGGGCTGAAAGAAAATAACTGCCAACCTATAACCCTAGATCCAGAAGGAAATGCCCAGCAGAACTGAAGAGGAAATAAATACTCGAAGGAAAATGATAACTGAGTTAATTCTTTACCAGTAGACAGACAGACAGACAGACACACACACACACACACACACACACACACACACACACACACACACAAATGCCAAAAGGAGCCCTCTGGAGAGAAATAAAATGATCTCAGGTGGGAGAATAAAAATGTAGGAAAGAATGTAGCGACAGAAGAATAAATTGTCAGTAAGTCTAAACAAATATCAACTGTTAAGACAAAAACAATGTCTTGTGGGGTTTAAAAGATTGTGTAATTGAACAAGGCAGCAACAGCACAAAAGGCAGGCATGCAGAGGAAGCCAACAAACATGTCCCAAGTTCCCGTAATGTCTGTGGAATTGTGGTCAAATTTGTTTTATTAGTCTCTGAGAAGTTGAAGATAACCCATATGGTAATAAAAGAAGAAAATGTAGCAATAGCAAGCTGATAGGATAAATAGAATATCTAAGAAACTCCTTTCTTCATTAAAAGGTCAGAAAGGAGAAAGGGGGGGCTCACAACAGATGAAACTATTGAAAACAGACAATAATCTATATGAGTGATGTATTAGTAATTACATTAAATAGAAAGGAACTAAATAGCCCAATAAAAAATTTCACACTGAACGAAAAGAAAAAACAACTCCCACTGTATCTCTAAATATGAACACACAGAAAGGATAAAATAAGAGACGGAAGCTCCCACTGACGTGAAGGAAACAAAGGAAAACCAGTGCAGCTCTTCCAGTATCAAGGGGAATAGATTCTAAGGCAAGAAACAATATGAACAAAGAGGGACATTTTATGACAGCCAAGTTACCCACCAGAAAGATAAAGCATTTCTGCTACAAGTACCTACTAACACAGCCTCGGCAGGCCAAGAGCAGAAACGGCCAGATCTAAAAGGAGAAGTAAAGAAATCACATACAGGGATGGGCTGTACCTCCATCAGTAGCTGATAAACAAAGACAGTAACCAGTAAGGGTGAAGAAACGTTGACCAGTACCACACACACGGTGACCCCCCTGTCATTTATGAAGCAGAACAGCCAACAGCTGCACAAGTTGATGTTCTTAAGTACACATGTCACACTTATCAGATATGGTCACATGCTGGCAGTGGATCAGGTCTCAATAAACTGCAAAGGATAAAAGCATACATGTTTTCAGACCACAGTGGAATTAGCTAGGAATCAGTAACAAAAGATAATATCAAGGCTTCCCATGTTCATGGATTGGCAGAATTAATATTGTTAAAATGGCCATACTAGCCAGGCACGGTGGTGCATGCCTGTAATCCCAGCACCTTGGGAGGCTGAGACAGGAGGATTGCAAGTTCAAAGCCAGGCTCGGCAATGGCGAAGCACTAAACAACTCAGTGAGACCCTGTCTCTAATAGAACACAAAACTGGGCTGGGGATGTGGCTCAGTGGTTGAGTGCCCCTGAGTTCAATCCCTGGTACCCCACCCCCATCAAAAAATGACCATACTACCAAAAGCAATATACAGATTCAATGCCATTCCCGTCAACAAACCAAAGACATTCTTCATAGAACTAGGGAACAAAAAAAAAAAAAAGTCCTAAAACTTATTCGGAAGAATAAAAGACCCAGAATAGACAAATAAATTATAAGTCAAGAAACCAATGCTGGAAGCATCACAATAGCTGACTTCAAATTATACTACAGAGCTATAGCAACAAAACTGCATGGCACTGGCTTAAAAAACACAGAGACAAACCTACACATCTACAGTCATCTGATCTTTGACAAAGGGGCCAAAACATTCACTGGATAAAAGACAGCCTTTTTAAACAAATGGTGCTGGGACAAGTGGCCTTCCATATGAAGAAGCCTAGAAAATAATGGCAGGAGTTAATAAATGAGATGGCATCAAGTTGAAAAGCTTCTGCACAGCAAAGGAAACAAAGAGAGAACCTACAGAATGAGAGAAAATCTTTGCTAGCACCAATTTAAAAAAATGTGGAAGAAGAAAGTTGTGAAAAAGAGAACAAAAACACACTGAACCATCCCTGCAGAGATGCAGCGCTTCTCACTGCTGGTCCAAAGCCCCACCGCCCACCTGTCCGTCCATCCTTGCATGCACTCGCCCACTCCTTCATTCATTCAATGAGTCAAGCAATACTGACTGAGGATCTCTGTTGCCTGGAAGCCACTGTACTAATTTCTTAGAACAGGAAGTAAGCGAAGCAAAGTTCCTGCCTTCAAAGAGTTTGTGTCAGTGCAGAAAAACTGGCAACCAGAAAAGACTAGAGCAAGGATGGACAGGAGGATGAGGACCGCACGGTGAAGGACGAAGAGAGGTAACACAGAGAGAGGCAGGTGCACTCACGAGAGGGACCAGGGAAGGCTTCTTTAAGGTGACATGTGACCAGCATTTCATGAAGTCAGGAGTCAATCATGCAAATCGTGAGCAGGAAAGCACACCAGACTGAAGGACTGGTGTCCAGGTGGTACCAAAGAAGCCCTCTGTGATTGCTTAAAGGACCCATCTGAAAGAGACTTGTGCCCCGGAGGTGAAGTCAGAGGGGCTATCAGGCACCGCAAAGCCCTCCTAGCCACAAGAGCTAGACGGAGCCTGGCTTTGATAGGAAGGTGCTGGAACACTCAACAGGGAAATGGCAGGGTCCCATCGTTCTATGTGATGTGTTTTTCTTCTGCTCCTTCGAGGAGATTAATTTGTCACTTCCCTTCCAACAGGCTTTTCATTCTGTAATTAAATTTCCATTAATATTATTTTCCAAAGAAGAGGCGAACTCCCCCCCAAAACAAGCCCTCCGCCTGCCTGGACTCCAGGAAAGATTTTCAGAGGGCAGATTTCTAACTCCACCTGTTAGGGAAGCAAGAGAGAGAAAGAGGGCCAAAATCATGGCTCCCATCTGTGGTTGGTTGACCAGGTGGAGGTGGATGCCTTTAGCCCCACCAGGAAGGAGAAGCACCCACCAGGAGGGACTGGGAAAGTGACCTACGTGGGAAGGGTCATGCTCTCTGAGCTCAAGGAAC